TTTCGCCGGTGAGAAAATAGTCCGCGACCAAAAAAGGTTGGGAAACGCTGCTTTAGGAAGTGCATCTACAGACTGTTTTAGGGGTTATGCGAGAACTAGATGCTACTTTGTATCTTATTAGTTTCTTGCATACGATGCCGTTAAGAGAACAAAATCTTTCAGACTTGAAATAAAAACCTAGAAATCTGAAACAACAATGGGGCAGTGTAAAAGTGACTTAATGTGGTTGAAAGCTGATCGAAAAATATAACACTATCAGAGTGGAATTCCCTCCAAATTTTTTGGAACCGTAAAATAATTTGCCGCATTATCCTAAACATTTTTGGTAATTCATATGCGTGTTTTCGTACTTTAAGTTCATAAAATCGAGTGCCATGAAAAGTCCCTGATAGAAGTGCTGCATAAGTAAAGCCCAAAACTACGCCAACACCAACAGAAGCAGAAGCTTATAAGATTTGTTTCAGAAGTTTCTTATAGATACAAACATTGATCAAATATCTGTGACCCACTCTCTTCTGTTCCGCGATAAAAATATAATTTTGACCCATTCATTGAAAAAGGTTCGCCATCCCTGACCTATATGATTATAATATATTGATTTTGTGGCTCTAACATTTTTTGTTTTAGAATTTGAGTAAGAAATATCACAAAATAAGTTGTGCTTTGTTAATATATATCCCATTATAGTTTCATTTCGGAATGAAATAAATTTGAATATCATTGATATATTTACTTTTATTTTTGGACAACTACAAAGATATTTCTTTTTTTAAATATAACGAAGCAATTTGCTCTATATCACAAACTGGCCTGAATTTTTGCATCATATTATCTTTCGGATTTTCAAAGTTGCTATTTTTCTTTATCAGTTTTTCGCCTTTTCAGCCGCATAACTTATACAACAAAAAACATCTGCTTCCTGCCGCTACACTATCGTGACAAATCAATGACTGTTTCCACACGGGGTACTGGTATCTATGGTTACACCACAATGTTAATTTCCTGTAACTTTGCACGAAATTAGCTTCATCTCCAGAAAGTTAGGATTGGGCATTTAATTTCAACCGTTTAATACGATAGGGATAGACATGAAATTACAGAATATCGCAGATTCGCTCGGAAAGATTAAGAACCACTGATCTTGCGACGCGCTTCAGAATTTCCTAGTAATATTTACAAAACGGCAAATAACAGGAATTATTATACAGTCTTACAGAACGGGGTGTGCTTTCGACCGCGATCTACTAAATTCCTAAAAACATCTCGCGTTCGACTGATCAGTAATAAAGTCACACACAAAAACGAAGGGGTACTAAATATGCAGATAACTGCACACAGGCATACAAAAAAAATCCACCGGTTCCAAAAAGCTCGGCTCTGTGTGCGCAATTTTAACGAAATCGCCACAAAAATTCTTATTTTTCATGTTCCAATTTGTTGATTTGATTATGTAATTGTACCCGGCTAAATTTTCATCATTTATTTAAGATTTATTCGAATCATACAATTCAGATCTAATCCCTGCCTAATTTTTAGTCGTGAGGATTGAAAATTTCTCAAAAAAACCTTGCCAAGTATTCATATTATCCGAACAGCGAAAAATAAATATTCTCAAATGTTACATGACTGCTCAAACTTCAGTATCATCTAATTTACAATTTCTTCCAAGTCGGATTTTTCGCCGCTTGGAATTACAAAAAATTGGGCATTCTGATGTCACTTCTACCGTTGCGAATACAATTTATCACACTACTCTTGGAGTGAGACAATAACTTTGCATATTGCAGAAGTTAATGTAAGATCGTTTCTCAGTCAAGACACAAGATATTCGGCAAGTTCATTTCTCAACCTTGGCAACGGCGGAACTTTCATTGTTACGCAGTTATATGCTCTACCGGGATACTCAGCCTGTATGTGTAATGTGTATATCGTATTTTGCGCGTGTACAGTACTGTATCTGTTGTTTTAAAACACACAGGCGCTGTATAAAACTGGTTTGAGATAATTTTTTGGGGTATGTTATTAAATTCACTCAACATCATACGCGATCGACGTGTTGGCCACCCCTGATATATAACATCACAATAAACTGGATACATTGTTTTAGCACAGATGCAGCATGTAACATTTGCGGTATTGTAATATAGGTTTAGTAAGGTTATGTCAAAATATAAAGTGTATGTATTTTCTTTCACATTAATTATGTGGGCCAAATTCAAAAGTCATTGGTTGGGCACAATATGCATTAGAAGTACTGGGCTAACGGTATTTGGGTGCTCTGCAAGATATAAAAAGATCAATATTTAGTCTACGAATGTTTTTCTGTTCGTATTGATAATTAAGATCAGTTTTGGCCATTAGATGGCCTAGATTACTAGGCCCTCTTCGTCTAAGGCCCAAGCATGTTCATAATATATTATATAACTTGGATCGCATCAATAATTTAATGCTCCTGCTGCATGTGCCCTCACGTCCTCTTTCGCTCGACCCAACACGATTTGAAACAGTGATCGATTTTTCACGGCGTATCGCTCTTCCCCCTTTTTTGATTTGTATTCTGCGATATCCGTCTGTCGAAAGTAGATAGGAATTTTAAAACAATAGTTAGAGGTTACAAAATAGGAAGAACTGATTGGAATGGAAGGACTTTTTGAGACGCGTACCACTGGATTAGTAATTGAGCAATTAGACTGAAGTACTTGTTATGAACTGAGTGGGTCTTCAAAGATCCAACACGGGTAGCTGGGTTGTAGAACAAGTGGCACTTTTAAGTTAACGAGGCGTCGTGACGAAATTTTCAATTTGTGACTTGAGACATTCGGCGATACCAAGACTTTTATTCAGACGAGTTCCTTTGTAGTTTGGCTCATGGCCATGTTCATTTACAAGAAAATGTAATTAGTTTAGCCAATCTATATACCTGATAATAATGAAAAAGCAGCGGCAGCAAGCTCCAATATTTTGTTTAGAAATGTGTAGTCTTGAAACATTAGCAACTATCTTGGGATAGGCAAAACCCGACGAATTGAACATCATGTGTATGGTTCGAATTAAGTTTCTTATTAACAGGATTAAATTATCAGTTAAGATTGGATTTGTTCCCATGCTTTATCTTCTTGTATTTACCTAATACTGTGTTGTTCTAAACTTGTCAGGCGTAATGGAGACGGTTCAATTCAATTTACTTTGTGAAAAATTAAGATGTTAACTTAAATCGATTAGAACGGGGTTTAAGCTAGAGAGGATTGGGATTTGTGAATTTAATTTTTAGGAAAAGAATAGTCAAACGTAATACTTTTAGCTATGTTGATAAGGATAATAATGATAAGGAAACAATAATGACGACGCTCCTTTTCCTCCTGTAGCAAATTCTTCAAACTTTTGGATTGAAAAAAATTGTGCTAATCTCTTTCTCAAGTGAAACCCCGTTTAAATATCCAACTGATCTGCGCTTAGAAGATAATCGCTTGTTGTAAATTTTTCGTCGGAACACGTAAAATGATATTCATTAAAATTGTCTAAATTTTGAATGAAAACCTTTATGACCAATTAGATTTGATGAGTAATAAAAATCAATTCCGCCGTCAATATTGCAATTGTCCAAAGTCTTTGACCGTAACTGATAATTTTGTCAATTTCTCGCTGGCGGTAATCACATGTGTCAAATTTCCCAGTGGATTCATTATCACATTATCTTCAGTTCACATAAGGAATATTGCGAAATTGTGCTTTGAATAATAATAACTCATGATATAAGCTTAAATATGGATAAGAGTAAGATGAATTTGAATATTGGAGCCGCCAAGACTATACCGACTATTTTTAACAGCATCATTTTTAAGAGCAATATTTCGGTTTTTGAAACATTTTATTCTTTTGAATTCATTCGCGACTCACTTTAATGATGGGCTTCAATTACTTATTTATGGGAATACAATATTCAACAATTTTCAACATAAAAAATGTCAAAAATTGTGGTTCTTTATTTGTTTTAAAGAACTGATATGTGTTATTCGGAGTTATTGACGATGACCAGAAAGCAATGGTACGACATTGCGTGACACTTTTCATCTATTTACTAATTAGATTCGATTCAGGCATAAATTAAGTTATCAGTATAATGGTCAAAACTAATTCACTCATCCTCGCGTTGCTGAAATAAAGAAGTTCGGCGCTCCAGAAGTGTGTGTACCAATATGGAAGTAACTAATTTTGTTCGCCTATTTTATATCAGGTTGTGTGAAGAGACTGAAACCAATGGACACGGAGTATATTCACCTGACTAACACAGACAGTCGCCGAACTCGTAATAGAACTAAAATATAGACAAATCGGAATTAAATTATGGCCTAACCCTAACCTGGTACACACACTATGGGAGTACAAGAATTTCAATGTAATTAGCATTAAAACGTGTTTCCTCAAGACCACTTTCGCTATAGGTAGTTAACTATATTACCTCACTTCACATACCTGAGAATTGTTTTACATTCATTTGCCACTCGAATAAGTGCGCTGAATTGAATGTTTGTAACACGACTCCATTTAAATAAAATTTTGTTTACGATATCTTTTGTATTCATTATTCTCTCTTTTCGAAGCTGTGATCTTACTAACTCTCCGATCCGTGCTTGGGTGCCTATTAATTGTCATGTGTTCGAAGCATTTCTGCGATGATCTTCATAAATTTTATATCTATGAAATTTCAAATCCATGTAAAATTATTATTAGTAGAATTTTCAAGCTTTTAAAGTCAATGAGTAACAGGTTTGGAAAATGTTTGTATTAGAAATGGGCCAATCAAGCAAGTAATGTTAGGTTGAGGCGCCACACAGTTCTTTATTTGGTGAAGGCATCTTCTTAACCGGATGCCTTTGCCTTTCAGTTACCCACATCCTATGTACCTCAAGTACATACGTACAATATGGAGCCATTAGCAAGTACCATCATCTCATGTACCGGAAGAGGGTGTATAACAAATCAATAATGTATTATTTTATTACAGTCGTATTACTATGGAAATATAGCGTTTATTTGTAAATCGTGAAGTTCATCCTAATAATCATGATGCAATATAAAAATAAATGTAATGCGGCATACTATTTATTTATCATACAAATACCACTTCTGACAACTATTCAAGTACAGAGTTTGAAAATACCATCGACAGGTAAGACCTCTTTTTATTGCATATAATGATCTTCTGCATGTAGTGTGTCATTGTTACTCTATTTTAGTGAAAATCGCTTACTTCACATGCGCGCATGAATGAGACCAACTTTTTCTCGTTTTACAATGTTATCACACGATGGTTTCATTTGGACTTACCAAGGAAAATATAAAGTGTGAGTGACAAAGGCAAAAAACTTTTTAAATACTTTATTTCCAACCTTTTTTTTCAAAGAAAGCTTTTTCTTCTGCAATTCTAAAAGTAATGAATAAAAATAAAACATTAAATTACGATCAACATAGTTTTCAATTTGGGACATTATTCTTGATTAAAAATGGTTATGACTTTTATACGGATTAATTAATAATTACCGCATTATTTCGGATTATGCATGTATATGGTAGATATCATTCAATAATCGGATACAAATCATAAACCCGACTGATTTAATGATCTGAATGAAATGATATTTTTTATTTTCCATATCAGGATGGACCGAACCCATGCCCGCGGGCCTCATGTGGCCCTCATCTTCATTATCTGTGGCCCGCATTTGGAGAGTAAACAAATAATCGCATTTGGTGTTGTTTCGTCATAAAATTAATCGGAAAAATGTTTTGACATATTGTTACATCACTAATGTCACTGAATTTACTAGTGTTATGGTTAGCTGAGACAACTAGCAGAGTTGAATGATGTGCTTGGCAGTTTATATTGTTGTCTGGCTTTCTATCTTTTTAGTCGGGAATATTTAACTAGTTTAGCATCATAGGAAACTAAAAATTTAATGCGGATTCTATTAGCCTAGGTTGGCTATGCCTGATAGCTGAATATTAATGTTATGGCCTAACAATATATGTCAGTAAAGTTAGTAGGCCTTATTACTTATATTACTTATCGATCTTAAGGTATTTGTCTGTCTGTTTGTCTATTAGATGAACGCGATATCTCACGAAGGCGAGATTGAATCTGCTCCAAATTTTGCATGCGCATTTATCTGTCTCTGACCAGAAGCCTATTGATTCTGGATGTTATGTCGTATAATTATCGAGGTATTAATTAATCAGTGATGGGACACGCGGTGTCACTATAGAGTCATGAATCGAAACCGCAGTTTCGATCGATAAGTCTTCGGTCTCCGACCGATATTCTCGTTCGTAAGTTATTTTGTAAACATGAGTTTAAAAAGAAAGCTGACAAATTCAAACAGATTTTGTATCGCACCGTTTACCTATTATTGTCACTATTGTTCCACGCGAACGAAGCAAAAATAATTTTATGTCCCCCGTAGCCGACAACCTTGGACCACCCTGGTCTATATAGTGTTGTTTAGTACAGAATGCGCTGCTTCTATGGTTTTTGCCCATATGTTTCTACGTTCTAGGTTTTTCTTATGTATAACACTTATGGTCGTGAGAAATAGTCTCATTTTCCCGTCACGGAATGATACTATAAATACTATATATAGAAATACTATATAGAGAAAGTAGCGTTAGACAACAAATACGCCCTCATTATATCTTTGTGTAAATTGGGAATAAATAAATGTACATCCTAATTAAAACTCAATTCAATCGGGTTATATTCTGGGTTGCTCGTGGTTTCGATTTCACGCGAAGCCTGGCGTGCTTTCTTCATTCCTAATCGTTTAATCTCAATCGATTTCTTTGTCAGCATGCTCCAAGCGCCCATCCGTATTTGTTATAGGGGGTTATTTGAGGTTATAACCGCCACTGCGTAATCCATAAATCGGCAAACGACCACGGCTTTCTACAGTATAGTATGTAAATAAAAGGCATCGCAATATCCCGCTGAAGTTTAGAAACGGTAATTACCTTATTCGACTGCCGAGAAGAACTATCATAAATCATAACTTATTGAACGGGTGTACATTCGCGGCACAATCAATAAATTCTTATTGTTTCAGTACGACGTCCACCAACAATAACGAAACAATCACCGGAGATTTATTATGCATTGCCGAGAGCACAAATCAGATTAGTATGTGCTGCAGATGGATATCCTGACGTTAAACAATCTGGAAGGTAAAAGCTTATCTTTGTTGCTAAACTTTAAAATGCGATTCTGTGTGTTTTGAAGCATAAAAAGTAAACATGAGAAAAATTATCTGTCTGTCGGCACAAAGATTCTCTAACCGAGCCCAACATTTACAACCCCGATAAATGTATGAAAATGTGCAGTTAAACTTAACCCTCAAAGAAATAGCGCATAAATCTGATCTTATGGAAAGCAAGGTAGCTACCACCGAATTCAACTGAATTAAAACCTAACATCAAAACCAGTCAAGTTTTAGCATAATTAGAAATCGTAATTATCTCGCGTGGACTTTTAACTTAATCCAATATTAAAACTTGTTCCCGCAATCGCTTGAGATCAATATCAAAAACAATTTTCGGTATTTATAATAATATACAGTGATTTTTGTAATATATTGACAACTGGCTACATGTCGCAGAAACGGATTCGATATCTTAAAAATAGGGACTGTCATATAAAACGTCACAACATTGTTCGCGTAGGCTGCATATCGTGAAATATAGAGTGCAAAGTACTGAGCTCACGATCATAAGATAAAACGGAAAAAATAATCGAATAAATCTTAATTCAATGAATTTTGGTACTTGAATTAGGTTAAGTCCACCAGGTCGATGATTAGCACGACCAGCTAACCAGTGTTCTCGCGCTCAGCATTTGTAAGTTTAGACGCGATGTACTCTGCAAATTACACGTCAAAATTAGTCAATATGTATTTACAATTACTTACCATTCATTTTATTTCAGTTACATTTGGAAAAAAGATGGAAAGTATTTCAATATCACTGAAGAGGAAGAAAGAAACAAATCGATGCTTCAAATATCGATGTCAGATGTGGACGGTTCACTGTACTTCAAGTAGGTTCTTGACGAGAACACATTATAGCATATCGCATTGATTCGAACTGTTGTAGTCCGCTGGTCATTTCATGCCTTTCTTTGCTGCCTTGGTGATGTTATAACAGTCTTGGTTCCACCTTTCTGCGTTCATATATATAAAAGAATATTTATACTAATACTTAATAGTAACTAATTATTCTAGCTGTCGCGCGCTATCTTAATCACGGTGATTAACTAATTTGTGGAAGTTCATTCATGCAAACATTGTTTAAACTAATATCCATTGCCACAAAACGAGGCTGAATTATCTCATAAACAAAACTTAACGATGGATTCCACTATTCCTCCTATACCAAAGTTCGTATGTTCTAATAGTTTTATAGAGCGCCATTGATTTGAATACATCCACCTTCAACCAGTGCCTTCTGATACCTAGAATTATTGTAAACAACAGCCAATGCGAGTCATTTGCAAAGCGTGTAAATTGACTAATCGTTTGCGCAGTTAGGCTTAATTGTGACAAGTAACTTTCTGCGGGTTATCAATCATCGACCAAATCATGGTTAGTTCTGTCCACACCTTCTCAAAAAACGGACATTTACGCACCTGACAGAGATTAGCATGATATGAATAGGTTCCCGTACATTTGAACTCACGACAATTGCACCTGCAAACTATTGCACCTATGGAAATTTTTCTTGTTTTGCGGATATCAGAACCCATACTAACCCTAACCCATGGGTTTTAGCACTCGGATATAGATTAAACTCGCGGATATACACATGGGTTCAAGTGTACGTGTGTTCAAATGTAAGGTCACCAGATGAATATACTTTGACTGAGACGTGCAGCTTCATCGCAGTATGATTCAAACAAACAAGCCTTCAAACATCTTCATTCATGTCTTTGCCATACACATACACGTATATGATCTGGAAAATTTTCGCCTTTAAAAAATTGGGATTTAGATATGCAGTATTAGCTAGCTGCATTGGTGGGACATTGGCACACTCAAACTCACTGAAGATTCGGTGGAAATCATATACTATCAGTATAATGCGTCAGTGTACGTTTACTGTCTTCGAAAGCATGTTTTGAGGTACCCGGAAAGATGTATATATATGTATGTAACAAGGTATAACACAATCTGTATTGCATTGGTTCGACAGAAAATATATTGGAGTAAATGCGTTCAAATTTATTGTAACATTACTTTGCAAAATTGTCAACTTAAACATGTGTATGTAACTTTTACTGTGTTTCAATCTTCAGACTATTTTGTTGGATGCAATATACCATCTTTTAGCCACAACACTCAATTTTTTTATTCATCATTTTAGTTAGGATTAAAAAGGGATCCAATATGTAAAACATTCGTGAATTTCATAGAAAAGTATTGATCCTGATTTTCAAAGATTTAATATCAGAGTGTATTATGTGAACTACAGCGAATTTAATCTTTTTTACTCTGCCTATATATATATATATAATTTATAAGCCACAGCTTGCAAAATACGCTTCCAAACGAGATTTCTTATTAAAAATAGGAATGTTTTTGTCTTTAATTCACGACAATTGATCAAGTTTTGATAGTGAGTGTGAGAATTCCAGAGAAATGTTTTGAATATTAGTAATCTAATTTCAGTGGAAGTGAAAAGCTTAGTTCTGATCAGCTATATCCTCATGAAGGGAAATACCAGTGCTTTGCGAGTAATCAATGGGGAACTACTGTATCGAAAGTTATCGAACTGAAAATTGGAACAAGTAAGTTTTCAGTGATAAAGAAAAGCATACAAATAATACATTTAGGTTTACTACGTATGTAATCGAATAACCACTTCTTTATATTTTTATTTAAAATTACTTTATTTTTTGGTTGTTAACTTCAATAGAATTAATTTTAGTGTTTGTGAATTGCGGTATATATAGCGTTTGGAACAAACTTGCGAAATTAAAGACAATGGGGTTAGCAAAATTTTGGTATCTCAGATGTGACCCCTACCCCAACTTTCTCACACATGTTCAAATATTCTGTGTTAGGGTAGATATATATTATGGGACGAATGGTTGAAGCAAATGTGCGGTGGACTTTATTCTATATTCTAGGTGTGGATAGATATATTACTCTGGCAGAAGGTTGAAGTAATCTTATGAAGTGAGATTCGTGCAATTGGGGCAAGTGGGACACAACATTTTTGCGACACCTGCATATTTCCATGTTGTTGCCTTTAATATAAGAAGAAAAATATATTATACGCATAGTATCTTATTACTGTACATTTTTGTTTGAATCATACGTTGTTCCATTTTCCCAGTGGCGCCTTACATTGGCATTGCTGATGAAGTGTTAGAAGTAAAGGAGGGAGAATCGAAACAAGTTTCATGTCGGAGAAGTGAATCAAAAGACATTGCAACAGAATGGAAATTTATACCGAACAAAGTTCAACTGTCGAATCGAATAGCCCAAGTACACTATATAAATATCATTGTTTTATAATATTGAACTCTACCATCTAACCATTTTTTATTCAATGGCAATATTGACTATTCGCAACATTGACAGCAAGCTGAAAATAAACATCATATTATTGAGGTATACTTGTATATAATTCCATTAATTGCTCTTCTGAATATTACAGTATATTTTTTCATACTTTTTATGAGTAGATGTTACGCGAGACAAACTCCCAATCCTTCCTCAATGCCTTTGCGCTAGTGAATCCGTGTGCATGACGCGAGAATGCTGTAGCAGGAATAAACATGGCCATGAATGCAATTGGAATCCTGCTGTACACTAACACAAATGTATCATTATATACTGGCCAGAATTAATAAGCAAATAATTTTATCCAGCAATGCCTTGCAGAAGGATTCACAGAGTGGTCGAGTATATATATATCCAATCCGGTAGATTCAGTTGAAGCATGATTTATTCGTATTCACCGCTATGTCTATTCTGAATCGGCAGTCCAAACGACCCGTAAAGTGAATTGGGTGTTACTCGACATGTCAATAGCAATGTCTCCTATTTTTCAAATCATTTGTACTGATTTAAATATTCAACTCAAGGCTTATGATGGAACAATTGTCTTCTCAAACATTGTCGCTGTCGAGGACGAAGGCCTTCAATTGTTTTGTACGTTAAAATATCTACCAACACGGAGTTCGATTGATGGTGTACATTACACTCTTTCAGTGAAAACAGGTGATATTTAAAGTCTATTGCATAAATTGATATTTTGTTGTAAAATAAGATTGAATACACGGGTTCAGTGTACTCTCTGCAAAAAAACTATATAGACACGGATAAGTATGTTTTCTCCATGGTGCAGATCCATATCGGAATAGAAATAGAAGTACTGTACATTTTATCTTCAAACCTTCAATATTTGACATTTTTAATATTGTATACAAGTGATCTTCATTCAATTGAAAAACAAAAAACGGAGTCGATTGATGAATATCTTCTTTGACGGTGTTAATTTTCAGATGAAGCAGTTCGAGATTCACTGCCAAAGATTGTTCAACCAAGACAAGATCGCGAGAGAAAAGTAGTTTTGAAAGGAGAGGAATTAAAATTGACCTGCATTGCAACTGGGAAGTGAGTATTGGCGGTAGTTCGCTTTTTAAATTGAATCATCGATTTTCAGTTAAATTTTTTAGAACCATTTTGCTGAATTTGTCAAGCCTTTATTTTAAAATAAACCCCAATCAATGACGGCACGCTGAATAACTCATTACCAGTGAATATGGTATTTTTGTTTAAAACGCTATAAAATCAATGTCGATCGTATAACTCTCTCTATTTAGAATTGCTTCGATTTTTTGGTCTGCAAATGAGGAATGTATAACAACAGCGGACGTAATATCAAATAAAATTGTTCAATGTTTTTATGCATAATTTATGAACTTTCACAGACCGACGCCTTCGGTGTATTGGAATAAGAAAGCGAAATTGGCGGCGATCGCAGAAACTTATGAGGATTATTATGCCGATGACGATTACTTACCAGGAGAGGGCGAAGAAGGAAATCGATTTCTCCTACGAAATTTTAACAGAACTTTATATATCCGAGAAGTGAATTACACAGACGAAGGCGATTACACGTCAGTGAATGAATTCTTTTATACAATTTTAGTTAATGTCAAAATGCGACGGTACTGCTGGTATGGTTGCCAGTGGTTAGTTGTTTGGTTACACTTATATTCTATTTTTCGATGTAACAACCTTTAACGTCTCTTCCAAAAAACTGTCACCGTATAGAAGTTCGCCAATGTTGCCCAGTTGTTTTGTATTTCGCCGTTTGAAATCGGTTATCACTGCCAGTAACGTAACCATGTGTTATCTCTCACGCTCCATATGTCGCGGCAGAGGTTCCTAAAGAAAATCTTGTGACCTTTGTCCTGTAGTTTGATGCAAAAAAAATGACAGATGCATCAACCAAACAAAATTTAGACCAAATTTAAAATCTTCAATGATTACAGTAGAGGTCATGTTATAGGAGAAGAAATTTCAACATTTATTTGTCCAACTGTCAAGGTTAACAATAGAATACCTTCTAACCACCATAAAGATAAGATTTGCGGTTTCGAATTATCTTGAATATCGCATCTCCAGAGACTACTAGTATTCACAATCGCCCTTCGACAACCCCTTCTGAGTTAAAATCGATTATTTTTTGAATAAACCTTGTTTAAAGTCTACTTTCGATCTGCCTTCTTATTTCTTGCCCATGAGATTTTACTAATTCAATTCAATATTTCACAAATAAGATTTATCTTTGGTTCTATTGTTTGAACTCTCTTTAATAAATTTTGTCGCTGAATGCCATTCCTTTCTGATTTTTTTTAAATTTGGAAATAAAATTACCGCACATGTTTCTCGTTCCTAAAAATTGTAAAGTCCCACTACTACCAACTGATAATTTCATTCAATAACAGTTGCACTGTGAAAAATAAGATTGGAATACGAAGACGAGACATTGAAGTCATTGTCGAAGCTAAACCTTCCTTTGCTAGCGACTACACGCAACCATTTGACATGATAAAGGTGCCAGGAGAAACAGCTGAAATTCGTTGTGAGCCAGAAGGAAAACCTGAACCCGAAGTAGTTTGGATGAAAAATGGAAAACCAATTGATGGTGAATATGGAGTAGTTTTGATTCATTTGATCTTAGAATATTTGAACCAGTATATTAATTGATACGTTATTTTTACATGCTCATATCAAATGTGTTGTTTCACGTTTACAGACCTTCCTTCAGACATGATGTTCAATAAACGTATTGTGTTGAAAGATTTGAAACAATCAGACACTGCAGTTTATCAATGTATGGGAAAGAACAAACATGGAACTGTACTTGGTCAAGGATTTCTGAACGTTTTGAGTAAGAGTCAAATTTAGAATCTCTTTTCTTTTTAATCAATAGATTTTGTGTGGTGGATCAACAAAACATTGAAACGGAATAAAATTACCAACTTTTCCTGCATTGATGATATAAATATTGGCGGGAGTTTGCTTTCTTTGTGTGAGAATATAAATAAATATGTTGCGCATATATTAGCCACATACAGATACTCGTCTTGATATTAGTAAAAACCTACAGAGTAAACGTTATAAAAGATTTCTTTATTATACACATATTTTCTTTTATTTTTCATGTACAGTTTCCGAACCTGTTGCACTCCCAGAAAATAAAATATATTATCGTAGAATGGAAGGAAATGCAGTTGATTTACAGTGCGATATGTTCTCATCTCCTAACCACACGACGACATGGGTGAAGTTTGAACAACCCCAAAAGAACTTACTCTGGGACGAACGGTAACTTTACTGTGTACTATGGAACATTGTAAATTAATATATGATATCGCTATTCAATACATCTCTATTATTCAATTTTATAATACGTTCAGATTCTGCTTTCTAAACACAGTCAGTGCGAAGCTTTTGTATAGATACAAATATAAAACCTCAACTTTTGGGAGTAGAAGTTGTTTGTACTACATTAAATCACACAAGAATTATTATTTTTTATTTCAGAATTGAGATGAAAAGCAACCGAGCTCTTAAAATAAGAAATATAAACATAGACGATTCTGGTATATACGAGTGCAGAGGTAGCAATAATCACGGAGCAACAGCCATAAATATCACTTTGCTGGTACTAGAAAAAACTATCGTTCGGCCTACCGGCGAAAAGGATCGATATGTAGTACCAAAGGGTCAAGACGTAGCAATGTCTGTTGAGGTAAAGACAGTTGGTATATTATCGAATAAAAAAACGTTCAGCAATTTAAAATCTCAAGTGATGTATCCCACCTATAGGTATAGTGTCTTTTCGATTAACGGCATGTGTTCTTTCCAATGATTGTCTTGCTCTGTAATACTGCTTGGCCGATCACAATCTCAAGATGATGAAAACTTATGACTTTTCATATGTCTTCTTAGGGGTGATAATAGAGTGTTAGCAAGCAACATTAGATCTTCTGCACTTCTTATGTAAGTGTGAGATTTGAGAGCAACACCCGTCAATCAGTAATTATCCAGGCAGGGTTAGAGTTCGTATTTTTAGCGCAATCTGCATTCCTAGCCCTCACCCCAACCGGACAATTATTTTTTTAGCGGGGGCGGGGGTTTTGTACAAAAGATCTGCGACGTTCAAGTGGTCTTACAACAATAAACTTTTCATTAAGTATGGGAGGTGCAATCTTCATCTGTTCAATTTGTTTAACATTTACTTGAAATTTACAGACCTTTACCGATGGCAATCTTAAATGGAGTACAGTTACTTGGTACAAGGACGGGTATAACATGAGTGTTGGTATACAGTTAAAGTTGCTCTCGGTTTCTGTTGGAGACAGTGGCGAATACAACGTTGTCGTTCAAACTGAATTTGACACCGCAAGCACTACGATTAGACTTATAGTTCAAGGTAAAACTTGAGTAATTTAAAAAAGAGACAATGCATTTTCAACCACAACATTAACGTAATGAAATTAATGTGATTTCGTTTTCTAGATGTCCCTGATGAACCAACAGGTCTGACATTCACAGCTGACGAAAATGATCCGTATTCTGGAACCCTCAATTGGGAATCGCCAACAATTGATAACAATTCACCTGTCCAAAGTATGTATCACTCAAGACTTACAATTTCCAAATACGATTGTGTATCGGAACATCAATTCGTTGAACACCCAACTAATTTTACAGGTTACGATATCGAATATGAAGCATCAGAACTGTATCCTGGTAAGTGGGTGTATGTTACAACTTCAGTCGAACCCAGAATAAACGTTGAAGCATTGGAACCTTGGGTAGAATACAGTTTCAGAGTGTGGGCTGAAAACGGTATCGGCCTCAGTGAATATCCGAGTGAAGCGACTGAGCCTTATAAAACTCCTGCATCCGGTACGGACACATTGTTTGAAAATAATCAAAACATAAATCAATTTAATTTAATATAACTTCATATTTTCATGTACACTCTGCAAAATGTTTCAAGGTTATTATTACTCCGTAAAATGACTATGGAAAACTAGGTAAAAGTCATCATATATAGGCAGGCAATTTTCCTTTCTATTGGGAATATAGCAACGATTACACATGCTAAATCAAGTGACATGTCTTTCATTTTGGCCTAACAGTATGGGTGTTTTTTCAAGCATTGACTACCTTGTTCATTTTTTTGGCATTGGTTGTTAACTAAAGCTGGTAGCTTTTCATTCATTGGTGGATTTCCTGATAGCGCCTTTGTTGGAATAAATAAAACCCTCCATACTGATATGACTTTTATTTATGTCTAACAAGAACTCTACCCGCCGATAAGATACTCCTTTTTCTTTTTAGCTCCTCGAATAAATCCAGCTGGTGTCAGTGGCGCAGGAACATCTCCTGATAACATGGTGATAAAATGGGATAAAGTAGATGTGATGAAATATGCTGGACCAGGATTCGGATACGAAGTTAGGTGAGTACATCGCTCATCAGCGGTGCCGTATTTAGACGATCAGAGACCCTAGGTCCAGGGCCCAGTGGTTCTCAAAGGGGGGCGATATCGTCCCAGGGGAGCAAAAGAGATGAAACAGGGGCGAACAATTTGAATAGGGCGACAGGGGGGCGATTGCGCATTCTCGAAAGGTCAAATATGGTTAAAATCGCCGACTGTTTTCTTCAGCATGACGTGGTTATTAAGACCGAACGAACATCAGTATTATTAGGCGGTGTCATAATATATGTATATAGAAAATATATAAAACGGAAAAACTATAAATTTTGTTTTAGGAGAGCCGAGAACCACTGGCCAAGCTATGCCATTCGTGAAGCCCTTCCTTAACAAGGCACCATGTTAAACATTATGACGTCATAATAACCGTTGCATCATCATCATCATCATCATCATGTTGATTGTATTGTGACGTCATAACTTAAAAATTGCGGGAAATACGAAATTCAAAGTTACAGACAATACACGTATACCGCCAATCACTCAAATAGATCGGGTAGTGACTAGTGAGTTGAAGGGGGTGCGCGGGTCTACGATATTTCAATTAATTTTAAGGTCGAAGCAGTAGAATTTTAAAGTTTAGACAAAATTTTTGCATTCAACCGCTTTTAGTTTTTGACCTTCTAAATAATAAATATTTGGGACAAGAATTATCAAACTGATCATAAATTAAACAAATATCATTTTTATAAAATTTTAAATCGGCTTTGTTCTGGAACAAGCCTTTAAAAACCAAGTACCTGGAATGACCGCATATCAGGAAAAATATGGTTGCAAAACGAAGTACATTTTTGTTTCAGCTGGTGTATGGAATCCAACTGTACGTGGCAAGTGGCTCCTTTCATTGATGATCCTGATATAACGTCATATATTGTAACGGGAACTCCGCCATACACAAGATATCTAATCAATGTTACAAGTGCAAACGATGAAGAAGGAAAGGCTCCTGCCCCAATTGTTGTTGTCGGATACTCCGGAGAAGATGGTAATATGTTCAAAAGTGTAACTACTTTAAGTTGCTCGTTTCTATTCTCATATTTTGGGTAGTAATGCTCATAGACTATACAGTTTATTATGAAAACAATTCATTACACCATTCACTTAGTTATTTTGAATTACAGTTCCTATGGAGTCTCCTTCTGAAGTGACACATACAATATCGGACTATAATGACGTCACGGTCTCATGGAAACCAGTCCCAGATGAAAAAATGAGAGGCCTTTCAACAGGATACATTGTAGAAGCAAAAGAAAAGAATTCAAACAAATGTATACATTTTTTTTTCTTAAATACTGCAAATTAAAGATGAAGTCTCCGATGAGAAAGATAGAGCGGGAATGGCGACAAGGCATTACCTTCGCATGGGTGTATACAAAAAATCAGGAATGATACAAGAATGATGTCAACTTACGTTGAAAAAAGAAAAATCAAGTTATAATGTCATTTTCGAAAATGCCAATCGCTCAATACCATGTATATAAATTGAGTCATATCAAGATTATAGTAAAGTATGGACAAAGTCGGCCTGTACATTCCAACGGACTACTGTATTTGGCAATTGATGTAAACAAAACGTTCCCGAGTAATGTCGTCTTGACGTATAAACTCTTACTTTCATTTGTCTTATGCACGGTGATCTACCTTGATATTGAACAAGGGTACCTCTGGTGACATTTCGATAACGAGAGCACTCTGATATTTTAACAATTTATTTTTTCACAGCCATCCTAAAAGAGGTTGATCCCAATGAATTGACAACTAATTTAAAACTGGATCCATTCACTGATTATGAAATCACGGTCAGTGCAACAAACAAAGCTGGACCTAGCAAACCTTCAAAAAATATTGAATTAAAAACTCCGGAAGGAAGTAAGTTTATGAATTTGTTTAATAGAGATGTTTGTTAGTCGCCCAAACTACGGCATAACGCGTAACATAACCTGAAAATTGTGTCACTACGAAGTGTGCGCGAATAAGTAAACAATGTAGTTGTTAAGTAACGCAGTTCATGCTTCAGAAAAAAAATAAATATCTCGTTTTAGGCACAATATTTTGAAAATATATTGCTATTGATGATATAACCAATGTGAAGGACAGATTCTTAAGTTTTGGCTCTTTGATGAGAAATGTTACTTGATATTAAATGGATGCCAGTAATAAATAATTCATTTAGAAATGACTATAAAATTTCAAGCCAATGCAATGAAAAATAGGTCATTGTTTCTTTTTTATAATATTGCTGTTCAGAGCCAGATGCACCGGAAAATTTTGCGGTGACAAAAACGACGTTGAATGATTTGCAAATGCAATGGAAAGAACCGACAAAAGTCAAAGGCGTTATCATATCCTATCGGTTACAGCTTCAATGGATGAATGGAAATGAAACGTATGTCAATGCATTCAATAATAAATAAAATAATTTCTGTATAAACCGCTCTGTGATTGAATTGTTACTAACGATAATATCTGCAAGTTGAATAAAAAATAAAGGCGGAGAATGTATGCGACGCATTGGAAATGCAATATGGTTACTGATCTTTTGCGTAACTTCGATTTTTCCAATGATCTGTTCATCCTGATATTTGTTTAGACCTATCCGATTATCACTTCAATACCATATTAAAATATGGTATTTAGAATGAAACAAATTCATCCCTTCCACAGAAAATCAGACACTCGTGAAACGAAAAAGATGAAGGTTAAGTTGACTGGTTTACAATCAGGCGCTATGTATAACATGACATTGTGTGCGGAGACATCACGTGGAATAGGAGATGATTGCGCAACCATCGGAGCAAAAACATTGGAACCAAGAAGTGGGAACTATAAATATTCGATGCTTAGTAGTTTCATTGCAGTTTTCTCAAAGCTAACGCAATTTCATGTATACGTGTAACATTGCGCAATGGTCATTGTCATGGATTAACAGACCTGATCCACAGAATATGACGTAACAAAACAAAAAATAGGACCAAAAAAAAGACAGCATATTATGTTATATACAATATGGCTCGAGGAAACATGTGTCCATATTTTTGTGGTATTACATCCCCGTAATATAGCTATTAAACAACCAATACACGTTGAAATGTCACGATGGTATGGGAACTCATCAAAATATAATTTCAAACTAATCCCTTATTATCTTTTTAGGTCCAGGCAAGGCTCGATACAACGTTATAACTGATGATAATCTAGCAAATGTGTCGTGGGAAACACCAGAACAAGATCTTGAGGATGGAATTCCTGTCCGATCATTTCGTGTTGAGTATAGACTTTCTGAAACAGGTTTGTGCTCGATAAGAAAAATAGTTTATTCTTAATTTTAATCCGTGAGAAAAACACGTCCATTCCTGGTATACTTGATCGAAATTGTTCTTAATTTAGAATCTTTTCAAAAATTTTTTACTTTTATACCTGATCGAAATTAAAACGCAGAACTTTACCCATGAATTACACTGTAATCGACCACCATAAGACAATTGTCCTAATTTATTTTTTGTTTGAAACGCTGTTCTGTTGTTATGTATATATATATATTTTGCATTGTATCTGTTTTCGTTAAAAATCATTCTTTTCTATATTTGTTTTTCTAAATCTATCTAAAATAGCTATTCATAATGAATATAACAATTTCAGATACAAGCAAAGAAAATGAAGAAAAATGGGAGTCAAGCAAAATTAAAAATGCAACTGAATCATGGCACTATGCAACAACTATCAATGATTTAATACCGGGTACATTCTACGAATTTAGAATTGTTGCAGCCAATGAGTTCGGAGAAACGGTCACTAACTCTACAAAATACAAAACGACTGGGAGATTATGTAAGTACAACAATAATTTGTAGCAATTTTGATATGAAAGATACATAATATTTTGTAATTGTGATAATATTTCTTGGGAAAGGTCGGAAAAATCGTGGTGAATATGGTTGCTGTGCGCAAAAACAGTACACGTGCAATAATTAGCTCTCTGAATTAAAATTTCGCCCAGTTCATGACAAATCAAAAACCGAGTAAAATTTCGTGAAAATTAATTGTATTTATGTTACATTACTAAATTATTTGTTCAATTGTTTGTAATAAAATAACATTAAAACTAGTCTAAAAGACATAAGCTCGGGAATAAAAATATTGGTCGGCTAGCAAAGTTAAAAACGATGAAAACTACGAAAATAATTTAAAATATTGAGCAATAATCTTTAACTAAATGGTGATATATGCTGGTAACAAAGAGACTGGAACACTGTTGATGCTGATACTGGTGTAAAGAAAAAATGAATGAAAATGAAAGACATAAAATGATATTATAACCTCAAATACTTATACTTGAATTACTTTCTATATGTATATAATTAAAGGATCGATTAATTAGCAATTAACTACAAACATTGATTATCAAACATACTTCATCTGTACAATAGCGAAAATCATGAAAACAGACACATTTGAAAGATACTTTACTAATTTTATAAACTTTCCAAATTTTATGCAAACTATGTAAATGTATGAGTCGTTCTACCATTGACTAGTACTCGTTGTTTAAATTCATTTGTACACTATAAACAAAACAATGAAACGTGAATGACAAATTTAACTGAAATAGCAATATCGAAAGAATCTATTACTCACATCGATTAAGTATTTGGTATGAATTATTGCTAAATGTCGTTTTCGTTGTACTATTCAAAATTACCCAATCTTGGTTTTTATAAAAACATGGAATTATGCAAGTTACTTTTGCCTTTGGATCATATAACACAAATTTAACCAAACTGTCTTAGCCGTTCTCTTGAATTAAAAAAGTAGTTAGCTTCGAATCTATCGTTTTTTCCATTGCGCTAATGACAAGCTGTCTAGCCTCAGATCGTCTCTGGATCCATGATATTGTTAAACTTTTTTCTAGATGTTTTAGTTTATTCTCGTTCGACAAGCGACCCCATTGTGTATTGATTAGACAATGCAGTTCTGTTACTCTCATTAGCGCATTACGAAGAAAATTCTTTACAGTTTTAACTGTGATGACTACAAATACGTCCTTGTGTGTAGATTTCATTTGGCTCCACGCAATGGTCGAGGCCAAAGCAGCCACAAGAGGCTCTGATCGCCATGTTGATTCTATTGCGTCTGTGAATTGCGTCAATGTAATGTTGTTAATGATAAAATCACGCACGACAGATGGGTCAACATTACAAAGCGATTTTTGTGGCCAGAAGTTTCGTTTCTTCCGACGCATTTTATATGAGTTTATCGTCCTTCGAAATAAAACATGTAGACTACGTGTCCATAGTTTTTTTGCCGCTTCTATTGTGGCCCTTCGCAATACACTGTTCTGTGTACGAAGTCTAACCTGCCACGCAGAACCGACAACGTCTGCGTAAAATACTTGTTTGATCCTAGATGTGGAAGTTTTTCTTTCAAATCGTATCTTATAACGTTTCAATCCCAGCTTTGTTGTAGATGCCTCTCCCGATCGAATTTTGGAGAGAGCATCAAGATAAAAGTAAGGAGATTCTGTGCATGTGTGCATTTTTTCTCCGTCGATGCAATGTGTGTGCATTCGGAGTGGTGCAACACGTCCAGTATCACTGAGCTGACATGCTCTTAATTCTCCAAATGAGTCCACTGTCAGATATGAATCTGAACACACGTGTCGGACTGCCACCATTCGGATTCCAGAAGGACAACATAATGAAGACATTTCTGTGGCATCAAATATCTCGAGCGAACCTGAAAAAAAATCAAAGTTTTTAGAAAAATGAAATTTATTTGCAAAATTTCAGTAGTGAAAACGATCAGTAACTTTTAAATTTTCACTGTTATTGCCTCTTGACGTAAAAGATTTTGATAAATATGTGTCCAACGACAATAACGTAATCCGTAAATTCCTCAATGTGCTGTTATTTCTGTTTAGATAATATACTTTAGGGTAAATGTTACTGGATCAATTCTGACGACAGGGTTTCGCTTCTTTGGCGAACAAGTAAGCCAATCATTTTGGCAGCTAAGTTGTTTTTCGCACTGCTTCAAGGAAACAGTAAATTTATAATCTTCTGTGAACTGTACAAACCTAAATTGATTGACACAGTACCAGGAAGGAGATAGGCCCAATAACAACGCAATCAGCGTGCGATTTCCCCCTCACCTTTCATCATCAAATTAAAGGATTATATTAATGGAGTAAAAACGAAACTCTCGCCAATATCTTATACAATTTTCCACCTGTGTCATGCGGTTATCTGTGAAAGTGTTCTAGGTTTGATTTTTCGACCCCATACTAGCGATGACGGTTCAGTTTTCAGTACTTTCTGTAAATTCTTCGACAGAGTAATCGTATGGGTTTTGAAGCCTTTCTAAATTTTTTTACCGTTTTATGGCGTCCATTTAGGTTCAATTTGCGGCTAATAATGGTCATTCTGTTAGTCAGGACTGATTAGTTGAGTACAGGTTTAACCCCAACACCCAACCCGATACTTTCAAACATAGTAGTTTTCCGTGTACCAAGGATGCTTGTTTACATTCAAATAAATATGACTGTATACTATAGATGTGAATCAGCACGCGAGACTTGGTATGTCACGAAACCATAATGTGAGCAAATGGTTATCGCGTACATCGGCCGTGAATCATAATGTCTCATTTAACATATTATATTCAATAATCTAATTTACAATAATACTTTAATACTGGATGAGGAACGTGACTCAAAAGAGGACGATGAGGTTTATAGGAATACTGAAATATAATCTGTTTAAAATGAAACAACCGATTTGTTACCGGTGCTTGGAAAATCGAATCAACTAATCATTTTGGAACAATTAGTGCTACGATATCCATTCTATGAAATACTCATCTGTAACTCAACCAAATAGAAACGATATAGAAACGGTATTCAATCTAAATTGAACAACAATAAACTGTAGGAGCAAAGAGATCAAAAGTTTTTTTCATTTACATAACTTGTAATCAATATTCAGCAACTATATCTAAGTTGTATCATAGATCTTGTTTCCCGCGAAAAACAAATATTAAAAAGTGATGAACGACATAGTCTGCGGTGGAAAAACAACTCCTCAAAGTGAATTTAAAGAATTATTCTCGTATTATTATTTATTTTATTTGGCATATTTATTTAGTGGGTTTGTACTCGATATGAGACATTGATGTAGGAGTCCATTTATTTAAATACATATGTAACTCGAATTTTTCTTGTTAATGCGGTGCAAATCAAATATGTGAACTATCAGATTCAGATAATTTATATGAATATTTCTTCCATGATCAAGCTATAAGGCTATATCAATCACAGTTAAAACGAGATATTGAATACTGGACTGCATAAGTAAAATATCTTCACACTTTCCTCATTGGAATGCATTCTAATAGCGGCAATTACATCATTTAATCATTCCGATTAGATTATGCTGCACTCAAAATTGAATGCTAATTTAAAAATGGATGTAGTAAGTTACAGTTGCTCAATCTATCGTGTTTTGGTGACATTTTTCCACAAACGTTTCTATGCGATTTGTACTATTCCTTTTCGTTAGGAATAGATGTTATGCAATGTCAGAGTTTTAATACACACATATACGGTAACAATATGTAGATAAATTATTCTAAAAGTCTGTGTTTTCGTAAATGTAATAAAACATAATTTTAATGAAAAAAATGTAGAATTTTCGGCGCTATTCCAGCGAAATTTTTTTTGACGTATAACGAACGGATCATAAATCTACACATGATAACGCATTATATTATGATAGCACGCCGTGAAGTAAATTTTTAAAAATATAGTTTCGAACTCAAAGTTAGTTCCTGAGTAAAAATAATTAATATTTTTCATGACCAGCAAATGTGAACGCATTATTGCTTGACTGTCACAAGATTATTCATTAGGTTATTCTCAAAGGGGTTTAAATTGTTTTAACACCTGTTGTATCGTTTCGTAATCATGGTTGTTACTTTTGCTAAACTCAAAACAAACAGCATTTCATGCTTTTACAGCATTACAAGTACCATCAATTTGATCTGAAAATTTATCGGGAAGACACATTTTAGGATAAATTTGTTTCTTACATCTCAAGTTTAAAAAAACGGTAAAAAACATAATTGTTACTTGGACAAATGAAATTGGTTGGATATTTAGACCAGTATAATAATGATAATAGAGCCCCGTATCCCAAACGACGAATTTCTATGAGAATTAGAAAATGAATGATTGTTTATTTTATTCCTATAATAAATTCCTACTTCATCCAATACTTGACGAATTCTAGTAAAATGAAGTCGTTTTCTTGTTTTCTTGTCTAGAAGATTTTTATTATGATACTGGCGTCACGCGAACTCATGTTTGATGTTGCAATCCATTTAAATCTAGTATTTGTTCAGTGATAATGTGTTGTCGATGTAAACCTCATAACAATTCTTTTTCTGGCAGCTGCGATCATATGACTAAATGGTGTTGACTTTGGAATGGAAATTACTGACATAAAAGAAGTAAAATTACTGACATAAAAGAAGCCATGTCCATAAGTAGCCAATGATACAGTTTATAAAAAGATCTATACTTATCTTCAAGCACAAACATTAAATGGACAAACACTAATAAATTCACTGGTAACCTAAATTTGATCCGATTAGCATCAGCCAAACCTACATCTGCTCAGATCATGAACTTGAGTCAGATTTCACGTAAGTGAAAATATAAACAGAAACAAATAAATAAAGTTTTTTAATAGTTAATATTGAAAATAACTGTCACAAGCATTATCATAAAATGTTATTTTTTCGATCTCCTCAAAGATCAAAGCTTGCAGTCGGGTCTGTAAGATTACGACCGTCTACAATTTTAGAAATCGTAGATGCTCATAAAACAATATTCTGAGCGATTGAAATTTAAAAATATACAAATTTTACGTACTTCCAGGCACATGTCTGGTGTATGTGTTTTCTTAAAATCCATATAATTGATGCACTACCAAAACATCTAAAAAACTCTATAGATGCATACTAGAGAAGACCCGATCACACTCCGATTCTGACTATGAGCAATCATCCAACTTGCCATCGCTCTCAAAATTTACAAAGGTTTACGAATGATGTTGATGGGGTTAATTTGGTTTAGTTTCGCAAACCGCGACCGCGATATATATATATATATGGAGTAAACTTTTGATCCCGCATTTTTGACACGTCATTTATTCCTAAAATTGGCAGGGATATTTTCCATAATCGCATAAAATGCGAACTAAGTCGTTTTGATGTTAATTTAACAAAAAGACCGATTATCACTAAATGTGAGTGGATTATGGTTCTTGGCTGGTTGCATTGTCCAAATTATGATGCTGTAAAACGTTCTATAATTTCAAACGACTTTGATAAATGACAATTATGAATCGAATAGGCTCATTTTGCTAATTTTGTTACCTCGGATAGAGGGGCAGCAAATTGAAATCATATACTTAGAATACATTTTCGTATATTTTGTTTACGTTTGCTCTCATGGATACGCATTTGACTCTACTGTGTTAATATCTTATTGAGCTGTATCCTGATCAATCATGTATTATGGTACGTGACAAAAATAATAAACGGCATTCGATAACAGGTGACTTTTTGCCTTTATATGTTGTTGTTTTTACGGCACGGGGTCACCGACCTTAAAGACAGATTTGCATTATTTCCGCTCCTTCATAATAAAGGAGACAATGCAAAACTGAAGTTGGCCGATAAGGAAGTAACCCAAATATAACCTATTTCAACACCTGAAACATATAATTCATGAATTGACTATACTATATCGCACGCATGCAATTCAGTTCGTGGAATCAAACGAATGAGTGATTTGTAGGAATTTTGTTTAACGAACACACAAAGCTGAACTAAAATGCCTGTGGTTCATGCACGTCTCGAATGAATGAAGCTCGAATTAATGCTTATTTAAATTCAGATGATAAAAATTACTATTTTTAGAATGATTTCGATGTTCAATGAACCGGTTTCAAATATGCGACAGCGAAATGAATCGCAAATCTAAAATTCAGAATACCTAAATTCTGATCATGACCAGAAAATCCTAAACCAACTTGTGTTCATGGTGCACTTTAATTTGTAAAAAACAAATTCGACAACACGCAATCGATTTTACCACAAACATGAACATTATTTTGTTGTTAACTGTTAACCTGACGTAAATAAATAAGCAATGACGTCAGTTCATTTTGTCAATACTTTGCCTGTAGCAAACAATTTTGTTCTCGTATGTTCACCAGTGCGAAATCATAAATGGTGTTGTCATAATTGAAATTTAGCACCTGTAATCTATGAGCTTTACTCCATCAAAATTATTACCCTATTTTCCGTCTGCAGCCCGTGATACATTAACTTCGAGATTAAGATAAAAGCAACCTCCGATGGTTCACGCGGTTACTGCAACCCAGTTTACATAAAGGCAGATAAAATTCCATGTGAAATATTTCGATTCCAACGCGGTATTTGAAAATGCTAGTCGGTCGATTAATTTGTACAGAAGTCCTAAATCATAAATGAAAATGTTTTTTTCAAACGGTTGTAAAGTTTAAATCAACCGGGTTCATCTGTTTTCGAATAAGTAAATCTTTATTTTTACATGACCTTAACGTACACTTTTCCTGATATTACCTGATAAGTCTCCGGTCATTTGTTGGTTCACCGGACATGCACACAGAACGTTACAAAATTAATATTCATTAAAGATAAATCAAGCTCTGCGGCACACATATCCTGCAATATCTATTTATTGGAAATATCTGATTAAGTGCAAAGTATCCACAAAGAGTTTATTATAAGCAACGACATTAGAATTTCTGGAGTTCTGAATAACACGACTGATTATGATGAAAATATTTTACCTGTTGGTCTGGCATGTGGCATCGGAAATCCGAATTCTACGTGGCCGTGTCTTGACGCTCGGAACACAGTAAAGAACCGTTGTTGATTTCGATCTTCTGCTGTTATAATAACCCTTGTGATCATAGCACGAATCTCACGTAACGGATCATTCGACGGAGGTTTTTTAGTTGAAGCAAACATCAATCGGTCAGGGTAAAGTAAATCCCCGTATCCAAGTTCCATTTGACCGTTACCTTGCGTTGGAAAAGACATCAAAAGCAATACAATCCAAACAAAACAGCACTTCTGTGAAACGCCGTAAGATGGCCAGAAGAAATATTTACTAATATTGTTACTGACTGTAATCTCAAGCTGACTGTCGCGTGTCATTTGAAACACCATTATTGCTGAACGATTTACCCTGCATGGTGAGTGACGATCCTCGGGTCTACGAATCAGTTTCATCAGTTGCAATAGGGAACAGCATATTGTCGCATATCGATAGTTTTTCAAGGTTTGCTTTTCGTTCACAGATGTGAGATATCCAACCCCGGGCTATTTATAACAACTCTTCAACATAGTTTCTTATCAGCCGACAAATATTTCTGCCGTGTCGTAAGAGCCTAAATTATCACTAAATCCCTGAAATGCGGGGGAAGACAAATAAACATTTAAATATTGGAATGTCTGATCTTAGGTATGAAACTTAAACAAAATATGCTGTTTCAATATTTCCTAAAATAGGCTTTCCTGGAAATGAGGTAAAATTGCCAACTCGAAAGCCAAGAAATGCACCCAGCCCATAACATCACGTACAAAAAGTACGATAAAATGAAGTGCTTTGACTTTATGCAACTGTTGCAATTACCAACCCTCTGTTACGTCTCATGGTCGCAGATTCTATTGGTTTGAGTCGATGTAAAATAACAAAATACAGTGTTCAATTTTTTTCTGAAAACCGCTCGTGGCGCTTCTGGCACCACCCCCGGACATAAGGCAGATGAATTTTCGAGCCGAGCGAACAATATCAGCGCTCTTCTTCCAACTTTATGCGATGTGTTCTCAAACAAAAAATAATTCAGTAAATAGTTAAATATGCCAATAACCAGCATCTAATGACCTTTTATGTTTGGAATTTTTATTATTCAGTTTTAACCCTACACTGTATTTTTAATCAAATTTTACCCATCTTCAATACTTTAGGCCTATTTTTTCTTATTTTGCAACATTTAAAAAAAATTTAAAGCAAAATGAGCAATTTTATGTTTTGTTCACACCAACAGAGAATTAATCCCTCTTACCGCCCTCCCGGGCCCCCTTCAAAACAATTTTATCATCCGGTGATATTGGATTGAATACTGGCAAAGAACTAGGATTATGTCAGCTAGTAAATACTTCAAGCATAATTGTAACATGATTATTCGTCGTGTTGGTACCTGCTAATATCTACCACCTGCCACGAGTCTTCTTCGCCATGTTACTGACTCGTTAAATTTGTGGCTAGCTTAACAGGAAATCGACTTTATAATTCGGTGTAAATTCCACTCCTAATAGGGCAATAAAATTCATAGGTAATAGATCCGAAATATTAAAGAGAATCGGTCATCTAACACGACTGTGAATAAATAATAAAATATATTTTATCGGTGGTGTGGGTCTTTCAGTTTATTTATTTTTATTTCTTATAAGTAACTCAGAACAAAAAAATTCTCACATAAATACTAAAAATAGCCCAATTTCAATGACATATGTCAATCGGAAAGCATCAATTCTGTGCAACCTTCCCTAGAATTTCGATCAGAAATAGCTCAATAATGATGTAATGTTTGAAATGGCTGTTTTTAATATTTCCGTTTTTAGTATTTTTATTACAAAGCCAAAATTACGCTTTGTGATATTATCAGTAGTACAACCTTATAGTACTTTAATCTATGCCGAGTCTATTCCACCTAATCAGTTATCTACAACGTATAGTTAGCATTATAAAATTGAACAAAACACACATTTGTTGAAATTGAAGTATTTGATCTTCGCTATGACAACACGCTATTTAGCTGCTACAATGTACGCTTCGATTGCACAGAATTTGTGGCTTGTAGCAATTTTTGTCGACTTTACAGCGGTCTATAACAAGCTAACTACATTCCCCATGCTTTGAATGTGATTCTCCATATTATGTTTAAGCATATTTATTATATGATAAATATTACACTTGATATTAAATTCTCATACCTTTCGTCTGTGAAAGTTGCAACCTCACCTATCACCTGTAATAAGGATGAATAAGCAGCAATGAAAATTCTGGTTTGTGTACCTTGCAAATATACTCTTTGTCAAGAGCTAGCGCAATCTCACTGTGATATATATCTGTGAGATAACAAAAACGCTCAAATTTTATTTCATTTTAAGGTAATTCTAATCGAATGAAATACATCAATACATCATTTTTTTTCGAACAACTACCATATATATGCCTTTCGTAAAATCTTGAATTTGGCATCAATGATTGATAAAAACCAAGTTTGTTCTTGACTTGCAGCCATAAAACAAAATGACCTTACAGTAAATTCGCCAAGTTGTTTGATTTTCCGCTAGACTGGGACAATAAGTCAATATACATTGGATGTAGTTGGTTAATTTAACAACATGTAGGTGTAAAGGTCGCGGCGGCTCGTCTGAATCCGCAAATTAATTTTCATTTAATTGCACTCTACAAATTTAACATTAACGGTATTGTAATAATATTGAAAGCATTGACAATGATATGTGCTTAGACATACATATGAACTTCCTAATTCTTGTAAATGTTCGCATAATTTTGTTTTATTTACTTTTTATTTACAAAGGATGTTTAACCGTGTCTCAAGTGAAATTCATCTTTCTCCTGAATAAACACACGCCCGCGCATTGCAGAACGTGATATTTTGTATTGTTCGATGACATCGTTTCAACTATATTGAATTATTTATAGCTTTGAATCAAGTACTTGTCGGTTTATACAATAATATTCTGGTCACAAGAAAATGTAAAGACGTGAAAAATCGATCGTTGGTGAAACGAGTAAAGTCCTAAATCGGAAACGTCTGTCTTTTGCTGTATTTGCGTAAAATTCCCCCTCTAATTCTCTTTATGATAAACTAACACGGCGACCGCAGATGCTATTAATAAGCCACTAGCCCAGCTTGAATCTGCTTTCATAGTTTGTTTTGTCAGCAAGATGGGGTTATCAAATAAAAATCGGCCTTCATTGAACTCCTGTAACGATGTTGTGCAATAACTAATGAAATAACGTGGGTTAAAGTAAACTCTGCTGTTTTGACGGTATTACATGATCAGCTTACTCGTGCCCAGAATAGCAAACTACGGCCTCTCATACGGTTACCAGTCCGGTCGCTGGTACAGATAACCATTGCAATGTTCCTGATAGGTAGACTTGTAAATGAGGAGTATAGTGATCAAGTAAAATTTATATTTGTGTGCCTGAATTTTTCGCTCTTCTCATACTAAAACTCGTTCTCAAATATATTGCTTACAGTATAACCTGACTTTATATTTGGTGATGTATTTCTAAATATTTCTCAGACATGAATATAACAAAACACGATACGGATTTTTGTAGCGTTATTGGAGAAATTTATTGGGGAAAAAACCTGCTCTATTATAAAGCTAAAAAGTTGATTATCACCATAAACTGAATTTGCAATACAGGATTATTTCTTACTCGTATATTACCTATTGAGTTCAGTGAAACTATTCCTTCATGTGCATATTGATGTGTACTTCTTCAGCTCATGTGGTCGTAATTTTATTATTCAGTTTCTAACGATATACACATACACATATATAGTTTTTGAAAATACATTGTTCACCATTCATTCACTCAATTTTATGAATGACAATATTTTTTTTGCATTTCAGACAGAGAAGCTGGTGGTGGGATTGTGCAACAACCCTGGTTCTTGGTTCTTTTATGTGTTCTCGCTTTACTCATCGTTTTTCTGGCTATTCTGTGTTTTATGCGTCGACGAAAAGGTGGTAAATATGCAGGTACCTCATGAAGCGTAATCATTTACTTTATTCATTTTTTTTACCCGAGCAGATTCAATTCGGAAAACTTTCATTTGTCCGCACTTTTCCTACTGCGTATAGTTGAATGTAGATCAAAATCGAATTAAAAACGGCTACAAATAAATATTATATATATACCTGCATTACATTTTTACTAAATGATGATAATTTGATGATACAAAATTTAGAGAAGTTTGGGTGTTAGCTGTTTTCACTCCAAATAAGGCTCCAAACAATGTTCATTTGTAGGTCATCACCAGCCATTAGGTCGCACGAAAACCGAAAAAAAAACATTCATACTTATTTGCAACGGTAATATTCGATTTTATTGCAGAAAAGTCACCTATTTCGTAATCATAAACGTTTAACCTATATTAATGTGAATCAAATTCAGTCATTGCTTTGTCTGACCGTCTTTACGATCGGTTTGAAAATCTAATAAAGTTCTGCAGAATTACTTTATTGTCATTTATGACTTTTAACTAACGAAACCTTCAAATATTCCTATGATATAAAAATGAAACGTTACACTAACCGCTGTTTGAACGTAATTGTAGAAAATTATATTATATTCATTGATACTATCTAAAAAGAGCTTTTGTGAAAAACTGTGACTGTAGAATAATTACTGTTTCATATACCGACAATCTTCCATGTTTGCCCAATCGAAACACCATGATTATTTTTTTGCTTGATTTGCTTCATTTCTTTAAAATAATATGATCTCGCAATTTTATTTATTCGAAAACAAAACAATTTTTACGAAAGAAAATCACGTAAGGTATTTATGGTATAAATATCACAAAATTTTTACTGCTGGACATTAACAATTTTTAAATGCTTTTAAAATCACCGATTATCATTTGATATATTTTTGGTAAATAAGTGATAACGTCGCGATCTTATTAATATAGTTCAAAGTCAAAAGAGACTGCAATTGCAGTGTTTATTCCTGTAGTTCATCAAAAATTTTCAGTCTATTTTTGAAAATATATGAGTATTAAAAATTTACTTAATTTATTCTATCAGATTTTCTTTCACTTTCCAACTGGTTAATGACGCGCCATCTAATCTTTAACGAGTTAAGATAAACATTATTTTCTTTTGTAACAAAAGCATCAAACGATAATATTTTTTCGACCAAGTACCAAAACACATAAAACTCAAAATCTTTGAAAAAGGGATTTTTAACGGCGTTCCACAACCTATGAAAAGTGATCATATTATCTCGTTTATTGCATAATAAAATTATAATTATTCTGAATAAGGCAAAGCAAACAATATTTCTTTCATCATCGTCCAAAGGTTTAAGATAATGGTCGAATTAGTCGTATTTCCGAAGTAGAAGTTTGATCTCTAATCCCTCTGTGTATTTAGTCTGTCAGTCACTGATTGTTTGCCGGAGTACTGACCGATTTATCGTTAATCCATTCTGAGTTTAAAAATAATTGTAATTTATCTCCGATTTTACATGTAATGACAATCGATCATGCCCGACAAAATGTGCCAAACTGGTAATCTTTTTCTCTAAACTCGATTTGTGGAATGATTTCGTGTCTTAGACAACAAGAAATGAAATATACACATCATTTAGCAACCTGTATGCTATCATTTGCATTTGTGTACAACGAACCGAATCATTTTCACGTATTTTTTTACAATTCAGTAATCGAGTGGTTTATGCATCATGTTACTATTATGTTGAAGCATCATAAAATGCGCTTCTGGCTCGATATTTTATCTTGGACTAAAAATGGCGCATAGGGATATGTTTTCATCCGTATTCTCAATATCGAGCGAGCTTCATTTGCAAAGAAGAATTGATTCCATAATTTTCAAATCACGTGTTAAATCGTCAGACTTAATTGAAGACAATACATCGAGTGCTACTTGATCCAGTATTTTGTATTTTCATATATTTTAGTTTCTGAAAAAGAGGAACAACTGGTAAAATTGGAATCTCAACCAATGAACAACGACGAAGCTGGAAAATACAACAGGTAAATTTGACTTCAAACTAAACAACAAAAAATACTGTTCACAATGCTTCTTGCCAAACGTTGCCAAATACACGACCGACAATTATTTTTTTTGGGGCATTGTCGCCCAGATAAATATAAACTCGTATCACGTTGACTGATTGCCGTTCCAATACCCGTACTAAAGCATATTAAACCTTGGAAAATCTTGTTGAACATCATATGAACCCTTCTACAAAAATGTATTTTCCATTTTACATAATTTAAGAATAATAATAAGTCTGCAAGTATACAAATTCAAAACTGATTCGGGAACAAATTACCCAATACTGGTTTTTGCTTGTCAATTTTGCTATTTTATCGCATATTATGCTGTCGGTATACGAGACATATTCAAACTTTGCCTACGTGACTGTGGTTCCGAAATATAAAATGGGATCAATACAAAGTGTATTTTGCTATGTAGTTTCAACTCTAGTTACATAATGATCTTTTAAATAGACTATTGGATATGATCTTAAGATCTGACTATATATACCCATTGGATTGCCCTTTATCTCGTATGTCATCAGTGGTATCATATATGAGCAATAAGAAGTAATGATAGTTTAGGATAGGGTTGCCATGCCACTGTATGAAGTATTTTTTGAAACTTTTTTAAATGGGAATTTTACACCGATTTTGCGATAGTTCAATGTGGACTATACTACATACCCTAGTTAGATCCATATAGTCGTCTAAGAACAATATAACTAAATTTATATATTTATTAGGTTTCTTCGACGATAACAACGCATTTCCTTTATACTTTCAGACATACTTCAAAAAATCATTTTTAGTGAAACACGTAAAAAAATCGCCGATGCTTTGAACATCATTTAACTAGCGGAAAACTACTTTAATGTAACGAATAAAATTTTGTTGTTGAAACAATCAACCTCTCATTAAAAATGGGATAATTAGTTGGTGGGATTAAGGCCCTTTAAAGATGCGTGCTCTGAATCTTAGGTTACTAAAACTTCGAACCCATCTACCTTTCGCTTATTTGTCGAATATTAACTTTTCAAAAGGTTTCGATCGGTATAAAACTTTAGCTATTTTCAGTCCTATATTGAAAATTTTCGGAATCGACTAATTGTCGTTCTGCCGGAAATTATCTTAATTACCATCGTCTCCGGAAAATTGCATGGAATATTATAAGAGATCCCCCAAAGGATTCAACTGATATTTATCTCTTTCATATTTATCCTATATATATGATCAATACTTGGATTGTAACGAATGTTTTACATTTTCAATATTAGCATGAACCCAAACACTGACATGAAAGAGGAAAACGGAATGGCAGCATCCTTGGACGATCCATTGAAATCGTCGCGTCGTCCACGCGGGGATAGCGTAGGGGGAAATTCAATCGAAGCGTTCGGAAGTGGTGACACGAAAGACTTTGAAGAAGATGGCTCCTTCATTGATCAATATGGAATCGATCGTCGGTCTCAGGGAAAGTCTGAGGAAGTATCCTCGCCCGCTAGCGACGAGTCGAAAGATGTTGATAACGCTCAGACCAGACTGCTTCGTGATTCGGATCCCGTCTGAATCAATAGTATTGCGATTTATGCTTAAGATTTTTACATAATATTAATTTATTAATCGTTTCATTGTTTCCAATTACCATAAGATTCAATTCATATCATATTTGGAAATGCAGTTCACATTGTTTCTGTTGTTACACTCATAACAGCAATATAGAACGATCCATATTCTAATAAAAATAACCCATAATATTTACCTCTTTACGTCACGACTATTCATTCACAAAGTTCTGTGTAATGTCGGAGACGGTCATATACATAAAAATATTTCTCCTTTCTTACCAAAGCTAAAGTAGAGTCGCTTTTTATACAAAATTGCTGCTTGTCCGAGCTCTATCATGAAAAAATACCAAGAAGAATTCAAGACAAAGATGAAATAAAAAATTGTACAAAAATTAACATCACAATAATACTTTGTATTTGTACTGGTCAACTTTTTTCTAACTTGCTTGTAGATACGATCTTAAGTTTTTGCTGCATTATCGCTTATTAATGTAAATTTCCTGCTATAGAATCTGTGTTTCCGTGTTTACTATTTCAGTGTTGTCGTTTTACATCTCATTTTTCCCTACCACCACAGTATGCGAATTCTTCTTTTGCCCATTTTCGTTGCTTTTATGTGGATTCGTCATTATTTTTCATTGCTTTGTAGTTTTGTTGATTCGTGAACAACGATCGATAACAATCAAATTTTGCCGACTGGCTAGAGTGTGTTACCAAGCAGGAGTTTGATCGTAAGGGACTGAATTGTTATGAATGTGAAAGAAAATAAATCAGTTGCGACCGAATTTGCGATACTGTAAGAAAGGGTCGTCGTAGTTTCCCAATTTTGGAATCTCAAAGTGATTTTGAGCTTTCTTTCACGGTACGCATGAATATATGAAGCAAAAGGACATTGTCAAATCCAGACATAATCCACATTTAATAAAATACTTCATTGATCGAATATTTATTTATGTTTCGACTACGAGCGCCGATGATATTTATAGTTTTTTGATTATGTTTAATTCGAATAAGTATAGTAGGCCATGATATTGCAACCTTCTTTCCGTGAGTAAGTGTAGGTTCGGTAAACCATCCAAGTTGTCAATTGACTCTGATTTTCTAGTTGGAATAAGATGTCTTAGACTTAGAAGGAGTCGAATATATGACTTGAGAGTTAGGCACCGTTTAATCATAACATATTCGCGGGCTTTTCTAGGTTTTGGCGGGTCATGGGCCCAAATGAAACGTAACATACAATGACTCTTGTTGACTCATCTCACATTTTAGAATGACGTATGGGGGGAATTCTGGATAAATTTACCGAACCACGGAAGTTGTGAATCGTGTTAGGCTAACTACGTATTAGCCCAGATACTGGTATAATGTTAGGTTGACAGTTGTGAAGTCAAGTCAATTTTTTATGGTAAATTTAAAGTTTACAACTACTGTTACCAAAGGGCAGGTTTACTTACAATGTTCCTTGAGCATTAGGAATATATATATAAGTGATCAAGACGTATACGTGGACTGCTGTTAAGTTGATTTCACGTACAAATGTGGTGACTGATCTGTTTCACGAGCGTATGTATTTCCCATACAGTTAAATTAGGAATTGCTAAATACTTGGTTTTAAGTTTTTGAAACAAAAATTTGATGAAAACTACTACACTACATGAAAACTATCAAGATAATGAATGTTGTTACTGATATCTCAGTTTTCGCAAATTGACCAACAGAATGCCAACATATGTTAATTTATTGAATACCTAATGGAAATAGCATCCTAATACCTGGGATCGAATGAGAACTATCCAGCTTTGACTTTCGATGCCACTCGACGATGAACGAAAATTCTGGAGTTTGCATTGATAACATTACATAGTCGAACAGCTCCGTAGGCCTACATAGCAGAACGTTTCAGCCGCCAGTCGTTTGAATAAACTCTTTTTTAAAAGCGGTCAGCTTAAGACCACGAGTGTGGTCTGTAAATATCATGAAAAGTTAGCAAAATCATTACAGACTGAAATTTCCATCAAATTGAATAATAATTGTTGCGTGATTCGAGAGAATCATCGTAAAACGGCTCTCATTTAGACCATACTCTATTGAATCATCTTCTTTGGCAGTTTTATTTCCGTGGAGAAAATATACAGGTTGCACTTTGTTGACATATATATATTTATGCTTACCATACGTCCCGCTTTAGGTGGGACAGCCCCGCTTTTTAGCGCCGTGTCTAGGGCTGGGCATTTCGAATCGAATATTTGAATCGAATCGAATAGTAAATTATTCGAATCGGTTCAAAGCTAAATTTCGAATCGCCGCCATCTTGTTTTTATCCTTCCGCTAATGGTCGAGGTGAATTCCCCAATTTTTTTTTCATTGAAGTCGTATTTTTTCAACGAAATTCTGACATATGACTATTTTCTGTAGTGAGTTATTGATAAAACGTGTTTGTTATTCTGTGTGAGCGCTCAGTAATCTATCTGGGTGATTTATTCTATGTCTTCGGTAATTCATTTGTTGAGAGGATTAATTACTATAATAAAATCGCTTACAATTATATATTTTCAAGTATTCGAGATTCGAATTCTAATATATTATTCGATTCGATTCTGAAATCACAAGGTATTCGAAAATGCCCAGCCCTAGCCGTGTCCTGCCGTCCCGACAAGTCAGCCAAAAGTCCCGGTTTGGCGTTCAGCAATCCAGCATAATACACGAACTTGTTCCCGTTACTGTTGTTGCTGTGTAGCGCAACGCTAGCCTACTTACTGAAGGCGAATGCGTTATTTTGGTTTGTTTCGTTGTTTTCCGCTAACATTGTTAGCGATCGTATCACATGTAAAATCAATTCTAATTGGTCCTGTTCGGACGTTCACGAGAATGTAACATTGAACAACGTCTTTTTGAAAGTGTTATCTACAGAAAAGCATGCTTGGGCGAATAAGTAAATCTTAATGCTTGAGAACGGCAGACTATTTAATTATTCTTTATTATTTTTGCTGTTACTGCTGTACATAAAATAATCTAAATTCTGGTCATGTGTATCGTTAGCGTCTATTCCTTTCTATTTTGCAAACTGAACCCGACATTTGATATTGCGTAATTTTGTGCTTTACACATATATAGGCTACTGCAATTATAACAGGAGTTCACATGATAGAGAATGCCGAAAAACTTTTATAATGCTACGGCACAATTTTTCAAAATAGTTTAGAAAGAATTCCACTCTAAAATATTTTCGAACGGCTTTCAACCGCTTTGTATTTATAATCATCCAGTTCAAGTTTTCTGCAATTGTTCAGATCCTTCAGTAAAGTTGCAAAAAATGATCATTCTTCTTTTTTGTTTTTGGATGAATTTCTATGTGCGCAATAGCAAGAAGGACTCCTAAATATCCGTAATGATATCAATTCGGAGGATACCTTCGAAAAACATGGGACGGAATCTTTTTGGATTTCTCTTCACAAAGAGGGTACAGCAATTGCAAAAGAAGCCTATGCGCCAATTTCCCAATACCTATTTGTGTAAATCAGCATTTTCTGCTTTAACAACTATTAAAAACGAGAATATCGGTCAGAGACCAAAGACTTATCGATCGAAAGTTAGGGGATCCCCCAAAACAGCAATCTCACTCCATAGTGACACCTTGTGTCCCATCACCAATTAATTAATAACTCGCTGATTATACGACATAAATTGCCCAGAAACAATAGGCTTCTGGTCCGAGATATGATGAATGCACATGCAAAATCTGTAGCAGATTCAATCTAGCTTTCGTGAGATATCGCGTGCATCTAACAGACATACAGAGAGACAGACAAATACCTATCAACGTACTCACCGATTAAAATCGATAAGTAACAAGGAAGAAGTTGTTTAAATAGTGTAGACATGAGTATGAGAATTGCTTTGAGCGCCGTGGAGCCACGATTCAAGAAGATTGCAAAGGAAATGCAAGACCAACCCAGTCATTGAATTTCACGCTTGTTACCTTCTTTTTGTTTCGTTGTTAAAGTAGAAATATTTGAATTACAAATATTTCGTGTTACGAGTATTTCGTGTTTTATTTTTGGTATTTGGGGTTCCCTAAAAAACGAAAAATTATATCAGAGGTTCCACAATAACAAAAAGGTTGAAGAGCACTGACCTACATACTATGAATTATGTGTATATATATTTTAAAATTATAAAAGTCATTTCTGATGATAAAGTGATAAACAAAAAGCACTCGTGTTATCATATCATAACTGAACTTCACCTTTTTGCAACAATTTGTTTAAGTCATTAAGAACCTCAAGTCTGCCAATTGTTTGAAAAAGAACCCTTCTAGATTTCTCTTACCAGCAACAAACATTTTTATCGTGCGACCTTGCTGATAAAACTATTTGTCAGGTGAAAGAAAAATCCCACAGTACGCAAGAATATTCGCAGAGAGTAAAGATAAATAGACATCTCATGATCCATGTCTAAAAACATCCAATCACTTGTCTATTAGGATTACGTAAGTCTTCATCGTGTGGTTTTACTTGATTGTCGATCATAGGCTATACTACGTCCCCGCCCTTATCAGTGCAATTTATATTTCCTATGTGCGATTTCTATCCCCGAAATGTAATAATAACGTAACGGTCTTGGTGCTATGTATGTCTCGATTATAAAATGATATTTAATCATAATAAGAAGTGCAATTTAACAAAGAAAATGTCTTAATAATCTTAATAATCTTTTGCTAAAACAGCTTAAAAATTTCCCTAACAGTCATCAGGTAAATAGTAATGAAATAATCAAGTTTGCTTGTTTAGGTGATACCGACCACAGCACATTTTTTGTTGGCGTTGTGATAACTGAGAACGCTCTTCCTACAGTCTGGAAGAATTGTTCTTAAGCTCATTATTGTGTCAAAGTCTCTGACATACAACATTGATTAAAATATACAAATTTTGGCTCACGCCACAAGTTCATTGATGAACGTTTCTTTTGTAGGCCCTATATATATATACACACTTAAACATTTGGTGCTATATATTAAATCCGGCATACTTTTTCACTCGCAGACATTAAATACAGACGATCTTTGAAAAAAATCGTGAAAAATATATTTTGACCGGAAACTGATTCTGATTTTATCATTGTCAAGCTTTCCTAATCAGCAATACCAGTACTTCAATAATATTTACATTTTTTGGCGGTTACCAATGCAGTTAGTGATATTCCCACCACGGAAACACCACGGAAGGTAAATTGACAATAAACTGATCTTTTTTGAGAAAATTGTACAGTAATGTATAAAGTTGATTTGTACCTCAAATGTTAGTTAACGGTCAAAATAAACTGTAACCGTTAATCATCTGTATTCCGTTTACCCGTTACCATTTCCAGACATACTATTGTAACTTATAGACAATATCATATACGGATTACCGCCTTGTTGCCATATTTTGACCTTACAGTTGTCAAATATTATAAATTTTGGTATCGCTTTTTTGGACAGTTACAAAATTAGCAAGCCAGTATTTTAATACATAAACGAATAGCTCGTGGAGAGAACCCGTGGCCTAGAGCCATACAGGATGACACAAAAAGACTCGAAGTTGCGTAAATTTATATTAGAAATAATTTTAAATGCTTTTTTAGTATATACAAAATATGGACCTCCTGAAGTATGCGCACCAAGATGGCGCACAACCTGAACTCAGTTTGTGTACCATGTTAGGGTTCAGGTTATGCGACATCTTGGTGCGCATACTTCAGGAGTATCCGAATTTCTCCTGTACTAGCGTAAAAATAGATAGTAAAATTGGAAAATGTGAAGTCAAAAAATCACAGCTAACGGGTCTTTGTCTTTGAAAGCGTCCTGTTTTGAAGTCATCAAAATATGGTAGTCAGTTTGGATGTTGAGTGCGAAATAAATGCAAATTGTCCGAGAGCCAATGGAATATTCTTCTATGCCCATGATTCTCCATAAAACAGCTTTGCAAGTCGCAACATGCTGCTAAATTTTTATTTAGTAAGGTAGGATATTCAGAACCTCATCTCCATGCAAGGTGCACAGAAATTGATACAGAAAATAGAAATACTGTTAGGAGTCTCGAGAGAGCTTTTGAGAGCTTGTCTTTAAGCAGCGACACCTATAACGCTATTACTGGTTTGTTGTGTAAAGTAAATGCATATGATAGTTACAAATATTGACTGTACAATATTCGTGATATTAGACATATTTTGAGAATACGGTGATTTTTTCACAAGAAGGTAATCAAGAGTAAGTTAAAATAGAAATACTGTTAGGAGTCTCGAGAGAGCTTTTGAGAGCTTGTCTTTAAGCAGCGACACCTATAACGCTATTACTGGTTTGTTGTGTAAAGTAAATGCATATGATAGTTACAAATATTGACTGTACAATATTCGTGATATTAGACATATTTTGAGAATACGGTGATTTTTTCACAAGAAGGTAATCCAGTTCGTGTCGAATAAATATCCACCTAGCGACGGGTTAGGCGCATTTCCATGGTAACGGACGTGTTATTGATATCCGACGTTTCCGACGTGGGGACGCAGGGAGTTTCTAAAGTTTCAGTTTTTGCTCCTGGTACCGGTCGTCAGGTAGTGTAAAAATATATGAGAAATATGGAAGTCGGAAAAACAGTACCAGTATATTCGTCTATGGGAACTGGTACTAGTGCGGATATACGTGAACAAGCGACGGATCAAGAGTAAGTTAACTTTACCCAATGCCTTTACCAAGGGCCGGCAACCAACTTGCCTAATGTAAAACAGGTTTATGGACGCCATCTTGTGCCATATTGGGAAAACGCGAAACAATGGAATCTTATGGAAAATTTTCGTCGTGTTGTTGTACCGAATCCAATAAGTCAGCTGTTATAAGGGCTAGAATAAAGCCGAAGGGTGGATTTTGAACTTTAAGCTATATGCTACTTAAATATATATCGCAATTAAAAATAAAAAACTATCTAATGCGTTAAATTTGGCCACAAACAACGAAGAACCACTTTTGGTCATCTTTTTGGAAACTTTTAGAGTGATACGCCGATTTGACGGAGTATAATGCCACCGCAACAATCCTACAATGTCATTTGGTCTTCTAGCGCAGCTCGGAGCTGAGCAGGCGGGAATTATGGAGCTTGACGGGCGAGAAAATGTTGACCCGAAAATGGAAACGGCCATTGAAGCGAATTTGAGTCCCGAGGTAATTTCGACGAATAAATACAACTGTCCATCTGTGACATCACAAAGAACGCTATTGTCAAATGGTCAATTATGACGATGAGAATGGCCAACTTACTTCGGAAGCAACTCGAAACCGGCATACTTGTATTTAAAGACAATTTAATGTACTATAAATGCAATTTAGCAAACATGAAAGTATATCATCATGTTCGCCTAAGCTTCTACTTCAAAATGCGACCTTCAAAATCTTTCTATCTAAAATATTAATGAAAATATTAGGTATGTTTCAATAATTGTGTGAGAACTTCCCATAAGGCGCCGTGTTATATGGCCGAGAACAATAGGCACAAGATGGCGTCCATTGTCAGAGCGTTGCCTCGCTTGTATTATATATACGCTTTGGCCTTTACGATCCAGTTTGGACCTCCATATCGCAGTATCGACAAACTTGCACTGCACAATAAACTAAAGTGGAACACAATCAGACATTTGAAAACTTCATCATTGGATTCCTCGGGAAAAAATAGTTTGATTTACCGTAGCATTCGCCATTTTTTAGCAAAAAAAAATGCAACTTTGGTCACATGACGACCTACACATGTGGTAATTGATTCAAATCATTATTGAGACAAGCATGGCTGTAGTTTTCTGCTGTGGTCAATGCCTACATTTTATCTATCCAGCCCAGTGGTTCCCAAACTTTTTGAAAAAATTCTATGACGAACCCCATGCAATTTTTTAATGATTCTCGGCCTTGTGCACTAAAACAAAACATTGAAAGATCACAACAAAAAAAATCAATGCACTGTATAGTGAAAAATAATATAAGGTGCAGCTCTAATGGCATGTGTGACATCCAGTCTGTTTCGACATTTGGTAAACGTGCAAAAGGGCAGCGTCAGCTACAGCTCTGCAGTTCTGCAGTTAGTAAACTTGTGGCGACATGAATTGAACTCTCACTGAGATATCACAGGCACACAGCTCTGTGGCATCACAATGGGGCAGGGTGATAGGAACATAGATTGAAGAATCAGTGTCTCCAGCGGTGATTGCAAAGCAGCAACAGGCGACAAATGTGTATTTGCAAATTTGAGCACTTAGTTTTTGTATTATAAGCTGTTAGCCATTTTACAGATTCGCTTCGCGGACCCTCCGAAAGTGCTTCACGAACCCTAAAAGGTCTGTGGACCCTAGTTTGGGAACCACTGATTTAGCCTATAGTAAATTCTTACATTTTATTTTTTTATTTTACAAGATTGAAGAAGATACTTGCTGTTTCACTCATTGAAAAAGTTTACTTAACATACCGGGATCGACAGATGTTTACATTGTTAAAACATGCCATTTGTGCCGCAGTGAGAAAATTCATTTATTTATTTGATCAATTTGAAACATATACTAACATGTCATATATGTATATATACATTATTATCTGCTCAAAATTGGAACTCATGTTTCATCTGTACACAAGTAACAACAACAAAGTCTATGTCCTGAATGATCTATTTTGCAGCTGCTTTTATTTGTAATTAGCTGGGGATTTATATCATTATCAAATACAATCCAAATTTAAAATTGTTGATTTGAAATTTTGATCACAACGTACATTTTTCATTAGTCTAATTTATAAGTTTAAGTTATGTGTATCTAAATATGTTTTTCTATTTATTCACAGGAGCAATCATGGACACATGACTTTTTACGTAAAATCAGTCCATTGGAGGCTGCTTTACTTAGAGATCCAAGTGTAAAGGCAAGAGTTCGGTTGCGATTTGCTGGAACAGAATTTCCACCAATTATAGTTTTTAAAATATTTTTAGTTGGAGATGGAACGAAATATATATCAGGAAGAAAAATAATTCAGCCTGCATCGTCAGTAAGACTATTTTATTTTTAAATCTATATCTTATTTATAAATCTATACAAAAACAGAGAAAAGGCCTCTAAATCAAATTGAGTAATATCATGATTTATTTACTTTAAATACTGCGGTACAGGGAATGTAATACATCAATTATAAACAGCGGTAGATGACCTGACTCATTTGATGAATGAAAGAATTCAGTGTATGTTACATATTTCCAATAGGCAGATAATCAAATACTCACTATTAACCATTGATTTATATATATCCCAAAATTTTACTATCGTTGGATGTGCATGGTGTTTAGGCCTAATCTCATTTTGACTATTCACATTTCAAATAAATTTTGAAATTTGCAACACTTTGAGCAATGTTTATTATAAACATAAATTATTGCTCTTGAAGTTTATCTACTGTCATACAATGGTAGGAAAGGCCGACTTTTTCAATTTAGTATACTAAATCTGATAGATACTGCTTTCATTTGATCTTCAAACGTAAACAACAATTTGAATATGTTGCAGTTCATCCTATTCTAGTGCCAAAAGTAGAAAAACATAAAATTGTTTCTATAATGTACTGTGTTAAAACTGTCACATATCATTGATCCTCAAATGAGTTCTACTTTATTTTTTGAAAGGTTATTTGAATTCTCTATTTGGTTTTAATGGTTGTCTTAGAACATGAAATGATTGTTGAGTTGCTTCATACTGCAGGCCGCCTCTGATGCATGTCATTTGATGGGTCACAGAAAATTTTATGATCAGATGATTGTCGATGCATGTCAGTACGAAAAATATAAAATAATTGATGAAATTGATGTCACTACTATGCAAGATTATATGCAGGTGAACTGGACATTTTTATTTGCAAAATTTCACATGAGTATGTGTATGTATGTATGTATGTATGAGTAATCTATGACTTGTTCTACCATGTTTGGGAACACTTGTTTCGGAATATCTGTTTGCCTTTTCTCAAAATTAATAAATTTGTTGATCTTCAACTTTGTAAGTAATATAATTACTTAACATCCTAATAATTTAAATACAGTATCTCAGTAACATGGATGAGACTCCTTCTTATCTTGGAGGCAAAGAAAACTACTGGCGTCAATTGACACTTGAAGCACTGCCCCGACAAAGTATTATGTATGATATTGTGGAATACCTTCAAACAAAATCTCCCAGCGACAGATTACGAAGTGAATTGCCTACAATGATGTCACGACCTGTAACCCAAGAAGTTCAACTGCAACATATTCGTGCAATATCAAGATTACAGTATGTTTTATGCTTACAATTTTAAATATAACTTCTACAGTATAGTTGATCTATCACTATTTAAAAACTGGCCACCACTCTAACAACACTTGGAAATTGGCAGTATTCTCAATTTGCCTGATAAATTTTAAGCTCTGTTTCAGATTCTGTTATGAAAACAATTTGAATAATAAAGTGAACCCAGATATTCAATCAGCCTCGTGAGAAAGAAATTTGAATTCACTTTATATATATATTCATCAACAGCTAAATGCAGAAGAATACTTTGAATACGATTGATAATTTTACGTTCAACATATGTAAATCAAGATGGTCTCCTTTCAGGCTGTAGGATATACTTAAATTTCATATCCTACCCCATTTTACTCAATAGAGTAGTCAGGGCCAAAAAGTGTCAACCTTGAATGAATCATTTTGGTACTTATGTGAAATTCAAATGAATGTATTATATATTTGATGACAAAATTTGAGTAGAATATCGCCTATATCAATGGTTTTCAACTAGGATTCCACTGCACTTTAGGCAGTTCCTGACCCTATTCCAGAGGTCCCGCAAATTTAAGTGTATTGTTTAAAGATAATGAAATACATATTGGGTTAGCCACTATTTTCAAACTTGCTACACTTTAAAAATCATTTTGTTTTGCCAGTATTAGTTTGCTTAATAGTTAGTTTTAAATGTTGTTTTTTGCATAGGACAATTGCACAATTCCACTCTACCAATAAGATTGAAAACCACTGACTTATATTCATTGCATCCATTCATCCTGAAGATTCAAGAATTTTATATTTTCTAGGACTCCTTTAGATTTATTATCTGCACAACATCATGTTATCACAGCCCGCAGTGTAACACCATCCTCTCAAACACAGAGACGTTCTGTACAAGCAAGAAGGCGGGTGTCAAGAATGAGAAAGCTTTATGGACTCGAATCAGCTCCAAGTCAGACTTTAGATTCAGTTCCCCAAGAGTCTTCTGATCAAAATGATGCTTTTGGTGTTAGGGGAGATTCCTCACAATTCAAACCATCACTGGCCATGGAGTATGCCGATTATGCAGATGCTCGTTTATCAGAGGAAGAAGAGACAGCACTCAGACAAAGTATACTGCCGTCTTCTGGTGCTGTAGACCGTGATGTCGATGACCAAGAGGCAAAAGAACTGTTCCAATGGACGCAAGAACTTAATTTTGAAGACGTAAGCCGGGCTCTCAATAGCAGTCATTCTCATGCGGAATCACAGCCTCGCTCAACTTCTTGGCCAGCGAGACCTATTCGAACTGCATCAGGATTATGACCTAGAGATTCACCCTATAAATTGCATTGAATATTTTTCTTGTTAACTATATTTTTTCTTAGAGCTAACCATGCTTTCTAATCTTTCATCAAACTTTTCCGATACCTTGTTTATTAAATTTTTTTCAATTAAGTTTTTTAAAATCATAACATGGTGCAGTTTCCCACGGTTTCAATCCAAAACGCAGCATGTGTTCAGCAACTAGTCTGGTAAACAACATTAAAGTAATTCCGTTTCCCTCTTCGGCGACGTCACAAATCTTTTTTCTACTGGGTGGTTTTGAAGTAGGTTCTATCTATTGATGGGATTCAAAATTATACGAATTTTGACCTTGAATTGGCTAACAACGAGTTCCCCTATGAGGTTTCTCATCCTCATCTACGAATCAAAAAGAATTACGATTCACGCAAGTACTCTTTGTCGCCAATATTTCTGCGCACCCATGAGTCCTCGAGTTGGGAAACACCTCATAACAATTAACAATACAAAAACGTGACATAGAATTACGTAATGAGAACAGGTCAAACGTAGTATTTCCTACGTCAGCTACATTAATATTACATGCTTCATATGAATCTAACACATAGCGGCGCATGTTACCCATTTGCTTTGGCCGTCTACTACTCCAGAGGTTTAAAGAAATTAAGAAGAAGTTTGCTCATTGTCACAATATTCTCTGAATTCTATCTCTGGTCCTATCCCACCATCGGCTCTAAGTCATCAACAATTTCGACTTAACTTGACTCGAAACTATAAGCTTATAAAATCAACTGCAACTCTCAGCTCTGGGATACCAAGACCCAGAAAAAAGCATGTTGCCGAATGAGCAATTCATGAGATGGAAGTAGGAATGACAATACCAGTCATCAATTGTGTTGTGATTGCCACCCTATGTGCACACTGCCCACATTGTGGAATTATCCACAGTTACCAGCTGCTGCACAACTGGATAAATTGGGCAACCAGATTCCTAGAAAACCAAGTCACGAATTAATGCAAAAATAACATTTCAGTGATAAAAATTGATAATAAATCTGACTTTAATTCAATCTATCCCTGCACTATAACAATGATTTCCACCCTTTCTAAGTTTATGTTCCTTGACAATTGTGATTGATAAAAGGCGCGGTATGCATTATAAACAATGTTATCAAACTCCCTCTGCTGACAAATGACTGAATAATTTTTTAATACAAAGTTATAAAACCTCAAAACGAGCTACCGAGATTTTAGAGTCAAACACTGTGAACAACATGATCATTATAAACCAAATACGATCTAACTTTATTAGAAATACACAGATATTAAAAATAAACTGCAAACAATGAAAATAATTGGTACAGTGCATAACGATGAGAAATAATTTCGTAAAATACAGTGATTAATACAATAAAGTCATAAATGTTTTCAAGATTAAAAAATACTTAATTGTTACAAATACGAGACAAAGTTTCAATTGTATAAAATGCTGCATTTTCCAAAACTTAAACATCATTTAATAATAGAAATTTCACATGATACTGCAAGCGCGTGATTGATTCGTTTTTCGTTTTGAATTCTTGCCTTTGGTTGCAGTTGTCGATTCTGCCGGCAAAGGGCGATTCTGCATATTAACAACTGCTCCAGATGATGAAGAGTATGATGCTGGTGGGTCATATGTGTGAACAATACTTGTTGGACTAGAAATAACAGGATCTGGAATACTGAAATTCACATGATAATGTTTATTAAGTATGGTGGTAAGGAACTCCACGAGGTATTCGATTGTGCTTATTTTTTTAATAAAAATATTATAGCCACAAGAAGAGTCAAAGAGACGGATGTAGATCATAGACTGATCCTCTTGACAGAATCTTAATTTCACTGTGATAAATAATAAACTGTCAAGTCATTTTTTGGCAGCCGCACCAGCCGAGTTCATGCAGCTGAAGAATAGGCATTACAATCGGCATATATAAATATGACCCATGAACGATGTGTGAAGTCATATCAACTGATCATGCAAAACTAAAACTATCAGTGGGTGTTTCTATTATTGCATGAATCTATAGCAAATGAAACAAGTTAAAAAGGCACCTGCTGCTGGTTGGTTCGGTATTTGATTCTTCAACTTTCTTTTCTGAATATAATGCAGATAGTGGTCGTATTTCATCACCAGAATTTGAATCTTCATCTTGATTTATTTCAGGAGAAAGTTTATCTGGAGATAGATTTGTTTCCTCTTTTTTCTGTATCGAGTTAGGTTCAGGTGGCGAAGCCATATTTGCCGTTTTTATAGACTCGTATATGTGTGTAGAATATGTCACTGTTAAAAGAAATTATTTTAAATAGGTGGTGCAATAAATATTACATTGGAGGCTGCGCCATCTTGGTGCGCATACTTCAGGAGGTCCCATTGGAGCCCATACTTCAGGACTGCTCATATACAAAATAAACCAGTGTTTCTGCAGAAAGATAAATCATTAAAACTTTGATTATATTGAAAATATATTTTTAAATGTTATTGATTCAAATATAGAAAATATATAGTCCAAATATATTTTTTACTATATTTTCAGGAGTCCAAAATTTGCTGTAAAAAGTAGCACAAAATACAGAAAAGCTGGTTGGCACAACAAAACAAAATTATAACAAAATTATCTCATGCAACTTCAAGCGCAGAAAAACTAATCCTAGTGGGAAATTGAGCACATTTGCGCAAAATAGTCATTTAAGTTCATTTTAAGTTAAATGTGTAAGTGTTTTTTATCAGTGACCGGTTACATAATATTAATAATGGATGAAGTTGAAAATGAAAAAGGCTGAAGCAAATTCACATTATTTAATTATCATACTTTCATCTGTTCCATTCAATTTTGGATTCTTTTTTGTACTTTGAGTATATAGAGGTTGATCATCATTGACATAAGCTGCTGCAAGAGGTGATCTGAAGCATTGCATACACAATTATGAAAACGTCATAAATTTAGGTGATTTGACCGTTTGAATTTCATAATTCTGATTTGGAAAATTAGACAGTAATTGATTAAATAGAACTATATATTTTATGCTAAATGTTACATGGTAAGAACTTTAATATTGCTAATTAGTAGTATTGAGTCGAATATCATCTGATGATTACACTGCATTTTCAATTTATCACAATATGGTGACCATGTAATCGATAGATAGATATATGAAATAAGCAATCCTTTGTGTAATGAAAAAGTCATTGGAACCTGTTACTGGTTGCAATCTTCGCATATGCTCTTACAGGCTTTATAGGTGCAACCTTTTTGGAAGAGGTTGCAAATTCTTTTAGCAATTCCTCATCTGAAAATGGTTATACATATTTAACATTAATCAACCACAGATGCAGAACGATAGCTTTTGAGATTATGAGAGAGCGCAGGGATAGCTATTTAGTGAATATAAAAAAATTGAAAAAAATCTTCAGAATACGGTAAATATCAATGTGTCCCTGTTTAGAATCTGGCATTAGAAACTGCCGATAGACATCTTTTTGCTCAAACCGAAGGTCTGAACAATTGCTTAAAAAGAAAATAAAGATTACTAAAAGACGTCGAAGACTATTACTGGAGAACTACATTATAAATTGTCACAACAGGAATATCATATGAGAACATTTTCCAAATCAATACCCTTGGAAAAAAAATTCAGAAGCCAGCCCAGTTCAAAATTTAAGTTCGACCATTACTGAGGATGTGGTATGTGTACCTGGCATTGCACACACAAAGATTTCACACATACACTGTTCAAAAATATTTTAATTAAAAATATTTTGTGAAAAATTTCCAATGTGTCTAAGGGACAATATAAAAATATATTCGTTTTTTATTTATTGCTCGGTGATTTCATATCATCGAACAATAGAAATGATAGGGCTCACTGATAGACAACTTTGTTTCTTTCTATGAACAAAAATCCTGTTTGCATTTCAAGTAAGAATGAAAATGTACCTTCACTACTACTAGATTCGCTACTGTCTGTACTTCGCGAAGTGACGCTTGTGAAATCTTCTTCATCAGCCTTTTCTTCGATTTTATTCAATTGATCTCTGAATAACAAACACAGATTGATAATATAATGGTATTGAGGTAGGCCAACGAACTTGAAGGAGTATTGAATTGCTTTTTTGCAAACATTATTTTTATAATTCATTTATCATAATAAAGGCCATGAATAGGTCTGTTGGCATATTTTGAATAACATGCGTTACGAGAAAACATTATATTTAGCTTTATCAATATTCAATGAAAGTTAAAAATTGCAAATCTAATACATTAAGGGAAGGGACACAATAGCCTAGCGGCTAAGGCAACAGACTTGACTGTGCTTCCTATGAACGCAACCCTAACCAAGGCGTAGTGAATTGAGAAGGCAATTCTGAACCTGAATGATTCCAGCCTTACCAAATAATCATCGGTCTTCCTTACATATTGTTAGATACAAATACAGATAAAACAAAAACTACAATATCGGTTAGAAACCGGAGACTTATCGATCGAAGGTCAGGGGATTCCCCAAAACAGTGGTCTTACTCCATAGTGACACCGTGTGTCCCATCACTAATTAATTAATAACTCGCTAATTATAAGACAAATCCATCCAAAATCACTAGGCTTCTGATCCGAGCTATGATGAATGCACATGCAAAATTTGGAGCAGATTCAACCTTGCTTCCGCTCCCTGTTGTAGCTTCTGCCAAATTTACAAACACAACCAACCTGTATACTTGTGTCAGATTACCATCACTATTCCGTTCAGTTCTTGGTGTTGAATCAGCAGAATCTGAAGATAGCAAGAAGAATTTTTCAAGCAACGGAACCAACAAATAAATTTCAAATAATCGTAGATGCTCTTGAGTAACTTAATTATATTTGAGTCATTCTGTACCCTGAGATATAATGACTTAAAGTGTAACCTGGTTTGTCATGGAAAATATTTTTGTGCAGTTTTTGATGGCATTATTGGCATCCTATAATAAATAATCAGTTGTCAATTTTTTTTTGAATGATTCATCTTACAGCTGAGTTTAATTTAAACTACCTGGCTTCTGTGTATCTTTATCACAATTTGCAGTTAATGCGTTGATCGGCATAGTTGACGCTTCCACCAAATATCGCAACTTTCTTCTGCATAAATATATAAATGTACATTGAAGTCAATGATAATACGAAGAACTGACAGAGGTACCATGTTAATTGATGACTATCCTATGCTCACGTTCAAATGGGTCATATAAAAAAGTTACAACAGAAGTTGAAATATAATACTTTTATCGAAATAGTTGAAATACTGAAATAGTTGATCGAAGTCCCTATCGATGTTGTGTGAATAATTATATTTAATGCCAAATTTACAATGTGTGGATGAATGGCATTTTTTTCAAATTTCAAAATGTAAAGTGTGTTGCTGCCTGATACTGATTACAAGCAATGATTTCGTATTTTTGGTATTATTGTCCAATAATATTATATGACCGGAATCTCTTTATCCTAAACAATGAAAACCAGGCAGTGAGTAACAATAGATTTTGTCACGGGTTGAATTTATCAGTTTCCAAGATTAAAATGCACAATAAATTAGACCACAATAAAGAAGTCGTGATATTAACATATTATGTTCAAATCATAAATGGGATCACTTAACAAATTACAAAATAGAGTACAAGTGACCTAAATATAGAAAGAAAACTACAAAGAAAAACAAAAAAGGATCTGTATGCTCAATATCCAATTACCTTCGGTTTTTAGGTTTAGTGAGAGCTTTTTCATATTCATCTTCAGAAGAAGATTCAGAAGAAGGAACGAAGATTCCCGATCTGGGCATATCAAATACAGCCCTCAATTCTGATGATGCAGTAGAACCACCGCTGCTATACCCATCATTTTCTATATAAGATCTGGAAAAAAAAATTTAAATTTGAAACATGACTCTGTGAAGTTAATGAAAGGAAATCATTAAATGCACATTTATACTTAATTATAATATTTGGGGTAAAATCGTCATTGGCTTCATATGGGATCAAGATAAATGTGCATGTAATGAATTCAACAAATATACTTAAAACTATTAAAATATTTAATTAAATTAATCAAAAAATAATCATTATATTAAAAGCAAAGATAAACTGCGAAGCATAACAAACCTAACTACTACACTATAGAAAACTCCTAGCAAAACCCGTATGCATACCAAGATGGCGGACACCGGAACGTAGCATACTTCAGGAGTACCATCCCTACTTCTAGAATTTTTGCGATTTTTGCTGAGAACAAAACAAACCATCAAGGTTCGAGGAACCGCGACTATTCACCATTGACATTCAATATAAATGTGTTATTTTCAAAGATTAATAAAATTGACATTGATCAATGGTAAAAGCGGGAAAACACTCTAACTAAAATCAAATTTACCGATTACTAAATGGGTTGCTGTTTTGTGTCAAGTTTGAGATTCCTCTTGCAATATGTTGAACAGGTCTGTCATTTTCATCAGAATATCTTCTTCGACCTCTAACTAAACTTTTTTTCTTTTTCTTACGATGCCGAGTATGAGCACTTTTCTGGGATTTTCTTCCATCCACCGAATCATTGTGTAATATGATAGGTGACAAAGCTAAGATGTTGTCATCGTTCATGCTAAAAACAAAATACTTAAGGATAAGTGTGAAAAAATTTACCAAATACCTTGAAAGACATGATCAAACAAATAGACAAAATGAGAGCAATAAAATGAAACAGTTACAGATGTACGATAGTTATTAAAAACGTAATTCAATAGAATTATTTAAATATTCTATTAGATTCTAGTCGTTATGATATTTAGTTAAGTTTTTGTTATCCAATTTTCATATGAAACAGCAACTATACAGACATCTGGATGGCTTTAAGCATTTTCTATTCAGTAAGTGTAATTTTGCTCAATTGCTGATGTCCATGCCATTGTTGGGCCATAAAAGTGCAACTACTTAAAAAAAACTTTTAAATATTCTGTAGTTGAAGTTGAAATTGTCTATTACGTCTTATTAGTTTTTTCAAAACTTTCAGTTGGTTTTTAACAACTTTTTCTATTTTCAAGAAACTTGCGCCAGCACTCAAATTTTCAGTCTCTTGCCTAGTGTCGTGTCAATGATTACATCATAGATAGTAGAAAACCAGAACTGAACGAAGATTGTAAAGTACTCTGTATAATATTCCTCTTGATTGATACTAACAAGAATTTAAGAATTTATAGGCTATAGCAGTTGGTTTACATACTACAAGAGTAAGAAGCTATTATCAAAATACCAAATATGAGATCTTATAAATAAACGAACAATCACTTGAAAAATCTGTGACCAAATACCTTTCATTTTTCTCCTTGTTTTCTTCTATTGCTAATTGCAATTTTGGTGAAACTATTTTTTTATCTGCTCTCATTTCAATGGCATTTGTTAACTTTCCTACAATCCTTTTTCTCGATTCAAGACTATCTTTCTGCAAGGAGAAAGCCAAATAGAGAATAAAGAATCTGATTCAAGATGATCAGAAATTTATAAACCAGGATTTAATATGTATATTGATAACCAAAATAAATTCAACGACATGACAATTGGAAAATAAACATAAAAGCCACAGTAAAGGTGTATCATGCTGTAAAGTTGATACAACAAAATCGGAACAATTTTATTTGGAATTCTAACTCGAATCTCTCACGAATTCATAAAATTTTCTCAGTTCCAGATCCAATTTTCCACATGTGTAGCAGTTAGAACAGATGCAGTTGATCTTAAACAGACCACTGACATATAAAGTCAATTTCAGTAAATTCAAGTGAGCTTGGTGAATCAGATTAAAATAATTTGCTGATTTGTATTCTCAAGAGTAGATTGACCATACCAAAGATCAGAAATGAAAAGCAAAAACAAATAAGATTGTATTTCTACATTAACTTCGTTTACAAAAACTTCCAACTTGACATTTCGGTTTCAGTTTTTCTCATTCTCTTAATTTTTATCCGGCCTGTAATTAGTTACACGATTGCTAATGTTGTTATTGACAAAAAATCCCATTTTATCTGCTTCTCGAATCTCGAGATACATTGATGTTCAGAAACATATTTTGGTTCCTGTCTTTTAGACATGAGAATGTTTTATTGATTTTATTCAAATTTGCCTCATACTGACCTGCGTCTGAATAGAAACAGCAAATGTAAAATGCTCAACTGCTTTGTCCAGACTTCCACTGTTGAATGCAATAGATCCAAGCCCTTCATGACATTGCCATTGACCTTGTTTATCTTCTACAAAATATGAAAGACACATCAAAATTTGATTATATTTAAAATTGGAATGAGTTTCAAAGAAAACTCCAGATAGTAATTCACTCCTGGGTGCAAACCCCAGCCAAAAATAAGAGACAATATTGTGAATCAGCACAAGTATGTTGGTGCCCATCATTTTCAAATATCATAAAGTACTAAAAACGATATTTTAGAAATGAATATGTTGAGCATATATAAATTGCAGTCTTATTATTAAAATAATGATCTTATCTGGAGTATACCTGTATCTCTGAAAGCTTGTAATGCGTGTAAATAGGATTCTGAAGCTTCTTCATACATTTGAAGTTGACTTTGTGCAAATGCTAAATTGCAAAAACTTTGTCCTTGTGCATTTCTGTTACCAAGTAATCCTGAAATGAAAGGCATATAAGATCAAGATGCTTGAAAATTAAAATAGTCATCTGCCAAAAATACTATGATCATTGTCAAATATTCAAAGAAATTAATTTATTCATTCAGTATTAACCTGTTTCAGACGCCCAATCGAGCCCAATTTTGAATACCCATTTTTATTAATGTCATACGACCCCCAAAATTTACCCAATATACAATAATTATATACCATTGGAAAGGTATTTTAGAGTACTATACGCTAGATGTCACTGGAGGACCGTAAACTAAAACACCTCTTTCAAGAGGTCTCTCGTAACGTCAAAAAATAACAAAAATATTTACACTCTCTCATTCTATCAGCTGTTGAACGTCTATAGCTATTGTAAAGCTGAAATGAGACTATACAGTTGACTGCACATTTGTTTTCTCTTTCATATGATACTAAACGCTTTTCCATAGCGCTCGTCGTTCAAGCGTTTTGGAAATTTTCCGTTTGAGAAGTCACCACATCGAATCAGGCCAGGCTAAGCTTGATAGATCGATCGGTTGTTTGTTTGTGCTTTATCGCGTTGAAAGCTTTTGTGAGTCATAATAAAACATTTATTATGAATCATAAAAGCTTATAATCGTCAGACAAGGAGAATTTGCGAGATAAAACGCCTAACTTTTTTTCGGTGAGGCAGCTGCGATCAAACGACTCGATATTTTTATAACTTCCTGACGTTGTGAGATGTCCACTCTCCTATGTTATGTAGCATATAAAATGACCTTCAAAATAAGACCTTATCATACTAGCTTTTGTTATTAGTTAGCGCGCAACGCCAAGGTTTATGGAATCATTTTCTTGTTGTGGGACGTTTTTATATCGCAGCGGGAAGTACACGCGTGATATGTAAGCGAAATTTTATCACTTTTAAATGTCATATAAGGTTCATTCTCATATCGTTGTGTGGGGAATAAGATTTCCTTTCAAGCAAGACTATAACAAACATTCCAGACCTCATGGTATACACACAGCATTGCAAAACGTCTGAAACGTCGCGCATGCGTCAGACCGAGAGGATTAGGTTAAAGAAACAATTCTGCAAAACAAAAAATATAACTATGTTTGCCCAATTATATTTTTTGAGTTAGAGAAACCAAGCAGACTAAACTTGAAGAGAAAATAGTTTAGACAGTTTGGTCTTCATACTTGCAGATTTTAGGTCAAACGGTGGGGCGCGCCCCAAAAGTAGACAATTTTTTGAGGGGGCTTGCAGCTAATTGGAAATAAAAATAATTGTTAGATTTGATCTTGCCTGCCTTATTTGTGTTTGAAACTCCTCATTTATTTTATTATTTACATTCCATCCACGTATTTTCAACGAGTTTTTTGAATGAAACATACTTTCGCCTTACTATCTGTTATTTGTAGCTTATTGTTAGCTAGTTATTTTTGAGGTGGGGCGCGAGACTTGACAAAAAGTTTGAGAACCGCTGTTCTAGAATAACATGATGGTTACACCTAGCCAAAGTTGGCCACAAAACGGATCTATGTTACAAATATTTGGACATTACAATGTTTACATCTTACCATGCATTTGTGCAGACTCAGAATGCCTTGGAATTGATTCACCATAAAAACCCATTGAATTAAGTATTGCACCAGAGTTCTGTAGTGCAATCGCTCGCCTTCTTGGATTTGTATTTTTATTGCAGAGTCTGATGGATTTTTCGAAACATAATAAGGCACGATTTAGACAACTAAGTGTTGCATACATCAGTCCAACTTCGCATAGTATTTTCCCTGAAAAATATATAATATCATACAAAAATCATGTACACATAACAAATTCAGAAATGTGTCGTATTCAGGCTGGTCTAAGATTACAAAAAAGCTTATATGCTTCTGGTATATTTGTATTATAGGTTCATTGATGTCAGTCACAAACATACAGTAATTACTCATTATTGCAGGGATCATACAATATACATAACTTCTAAATTGAACTGGGGCATACATTCCGGAGAGTTTATAAATTTACCTTGTAAATTAGCATGCTTCAGAGCAGCAGACTTCTTGCAACAACTACCAAGCAATCTTATACATTCTTCTCTACTCACTGTACTATCGGATACTGCAGCATTTGCCTGAATCAATAAACACAATATTTAATAAAAAGACATGAAAGTATACTTGATCAAAAATCCCCCAAACACTGATCAATGTTACACCCCTCATGCTGTATTCCCACAAATAAACCATAGCACATCCTGTTCGCCAGAATCATTTCAGTTGTTAATTCAGCTTCCTTTGATACGAGTATTTTATCAATTTAAGCATATTTGAACCAAAAAAACTTGATCCACTAAAACAGTTTGCATCCTATTTTGTTGTTAAATAATAATTTGTTGTCAATTGGAGCAGAGTACAGAGAGAGTCAACTAACAAAGAGCCTATAATTTATCAGCTGCAATATTTTCACAGGTCAGAATACCAAATTAAAAATCTGATGCAATGCCGTAACTCATAAGAAATATCTATATCATCACGCACCTGGCATATAAGAGCAAGGACCATGTTTTCAGTATCTTGGAGTTTTTGATATATATCTGATGCATGCAAAAAATGTTTTCTGGCTTCAGACAGTTCATTTTGCTTATTATAAATATTAGCGAGTTTCAAGTTAGTTTCCGCTGCTTTTTGTTGATTTTTTTCATTGTTTCTGCAAAATATTGTTGATGAGAAAACGAAACTTTTTAACATTGCTGTAATATCAGTAAACAATTTGATGGAGATTGAATCACTGAAATAAATAGTTAATTTTTCCTTTTTCAGCTAAATCATGCTTTGCTCGCAATGGTACATGGTTGTAAAACATACTCATGCAATGCATTTAATATGCAATGTTGGAGCAAACTTCGTAAAAAAATAATACTAAATAGTCAAAGATCGGCGCTCCAGAAGTATGTGTACCAATATAGAGGTAACTAATTTTGTTCGCCTATTTTACATCAAGTTGTATGAAGGGACTGAAACCTATGGGCAGAGGGATATTCACTTGGCTAACACAGACAGTCCCCGAACTTGTAATAGAACTAAAATAAGGAAAATCGGGATAGAATTATGGCCCGACCCTAACCTGGTGCACATACTACGGGAGTATCCAGAGATCTCTCCAAGAAAATAAGGACAAATGAATATAAGGATAACAACATCAACACAAAGTACAGTAATCCTTTTGTTCTTTACCGAACTACTGTTTACTTGTTTCTCACCCATATGCCAGCAATGCAAGCTGATAAAATTTCGAAGCTTTTTCAATATCACCTATTTTTTCGTATCCAATAGCAAGATTGAAATAAACGTCTCCCTTTTCTGACTGTGAATTTGGCAGAATACCTGTTATTTTTAGGGAAAAAAAATTATAACTCCCAAACATGTATGCATGATATCAACATCCACATTTTTGTAAATCCAGTGTAGAAAGGAGAATTAAAAATGAGTCAGGAAGTTGATAAATATTAAAATAACTATTCATGAACATTCCAAGATAGGGAAGAGCCTATCAAACAATTAACTACAAGGTTGCATGCTAGTACTGCTGACCAGAGGTTCAGTGTGATGTCTGGAATAAATTGAACACACAAAAGACAATCACTCCTCATATCTTAGAGAAGTCAAAATAGGAGTCACCAATGCTTTTAACTATGGGTTCTTACCACTTACTGAAGACAGCGTGAAATACAGCAGAAATACAGTGCAAAACAGAAGGAAAATTAGAGAAAAAATATTTATCCTATTGAAGTAACATTTCAACTCACTAGGTGTTTTAACAAAAGTTTCATGTTCAAGCACAGTATGTAAAACGTTGATGCCACGTGCTGTATCGCCACCTGCTATATGTGCGGCTCCAAGATTGAATGCACAAATTTGTTCCATTCCATCTTTTGAGTTGAGCAGAAGGGCAAATTTGTAGGATGTAACAAACTCCTGCAAAATAAAATTTTATTTGAGATTGTACAGTGATTTCTGATTGTACTACAGTGATTAACTTACTCATAATTAGTATAATAATAGCGTAACCAGTATACCTGAATTGCCTTGGCATATGCATCCTTCTGACCTGATTTTACAGCTTGAGCAAGGTATTCATTTCCTCTAGATGTAAAAATTTCAATTTGTTTTTTGATGGAAGTGCTCTGGAACATGTCTTGATCAAGTTTGGTTTATCATACTTTTACCTGCAGTTTAAATATTGCATATTTATTACTACTGTATTAGGACCAATATGGTTTACGAGTAGGAAGTTTCGACATTACTATATCAGAGATTAAACTAAAATTATATTCTGAAACTTAATTTAGTCTATAATAATGGTGATTTAGGAGTAATACAAACTTACTACAAACAAACAAACTAACGTCTACTCGGTACCCTACATCAACAACAAAACCAATTTGTTGTTTCCATCTGCTATACCTTCATACTACAATCAGACAATCCTGCAATTGAACCTATGTTAAACCCTACCGAACCGAAAATATCGCAATGCCTGCATTTCTCAAAAGTTTACTGCCCGATGAGAGTGTAACTCATATTGTTTTCCACTTAGATTCTATAACACAAAGCAAGATTGTTCAATTCTGAACTAGATATTTTCAAATCTGTATGCCCATGCCAATATCTGCATTTTGTTGATTTCAAAATACTTACCGTAATCCCTATAACGTTACCGGTACGTATCTACAGATCTAATGCTGTATTAGTGAAACCACAACCGCAATATCAGCTCACTGCTGTCTTCAGACCTTACAACGACAGAATGACAAGTTGAAGGCCTTGTGTTTCTGTATTTCTTATTCATACAGCCATAAGGATGAGATTTCAGGATTTAGAAGGGGAGAAGGAAAGTCAATAAAACAGTTTACCACTGCCTCCCATTCCTATTCCATGTAGCGGTATGGGATTAGATAGTTATATGTTTTCGGAAGCATGAACTTGATGGCGGAGGAAGCCGTAACCGACCAGCGGTTACCCTACGTCATTATGTGAACCACCCTAGATTGGATGCACAGACATGACCCACCAGCCCACAGTCTATATTCATGATATTTATGTTTATTTTGTTTTGATTTAGGCTACAGGTACCGTAGTCTATCTATTTTATGTCAGTATGTGTTTTCTTCCTTCTCGGGCAGTTGTGAAGGCGTTTCCACTTATTCAGGTTTTATCCATTCCCAAATTCTCAATCTGTCCTTTTTTTTGCGAATTATGAATTAATCGAAATGAAATCTATCTAGGCCTATATGTGTATACCGGTATGTAGAGACTTATTACAGTATTAAAAACGATACCACAACGACGGCAACTATGGTACTGAACTACGAGTCACCCCCAGCCAACACTTACCAGTATGTAATCACATAGTAGCCTTACGTTTCTACTATTGTTGCGTGTGTCACGTGCCATAACAAGACTGTACTTTGTTGGTTGCCAAAGCGAATGACGCTGTCCGTCTGGTGTAGCGAGTACATAAAATGATTTACTACGGAGTTCAATACCTTTAACCACTTATTGCCAATAGCCATATTATTGTCATTCGAGTTTTGATAAGGTTCTGGGTGTTTGATCTTGGTAAAACGAAAAAAAAAACGATATATAACGGGATGATTTAAGATTTCTTAAGATGTCATGTAGTGTTTTGAAACCGGACATGTCCAGACTCCAGAGAAAGAATTACAACAACTGGTTTTCTGAACTGAGGGAACCTGTTGTTGGTGAGTTCGATACGAGAATACCTCAGTCAGTCAGTAGTTTATTTTTCACCAAAATGAAAATGCACTCACAGTGAACATAAACTTAAAAAAAAATTGAAAATGACATTATTCGCTATTTGATTAAGGTTATAGAATAGTATAAATAAATATAAGTTACATAAAATTTCTACATAAGTAAATCTGCTCCAGTTTGACCTGATTCTGTTCTATCGGTGTGACTCAAATAATGGATCAAAGAAATGATGTATTCGAAGCTAGTTTCCTATATGAAAGTGAAACAGCACCCAAGTCACCAACAAGTTACAGTAGATTCTCAACATCTGGCAGGGATCCGTCACTTTCTACAACATCAGAGCTTGACTCATCTGTGAACCTACAGCAAGTCCAACAGCCCCTGTATAATATTAATGATCTCCTTCAATCCAGGGAGGAATTACTCATCACAAAAATGCTCAACTCCATTGAAGCTGTTGTAGATAAAAAGCTTGGTCAAATAATGCCATCATATTTCAGGTGCAGTTTTAAGTATTCTATGGCGTCTGCAGCTGCCGCAAAACCATGGCGGTATTTCCATACCATGGCCGCTACGGCCAAACCTATGGCGACTGACTTTTTAGCTGCCACAAACCAATGTCGAGCTGCCGTTACCGCGGCAGCAAATTGAAAACCAATGGCAGGTAAAATTTTGCTGCCGTAACCGCGGCAGGTGGGCCGTAAGGACAGGGCTGCCCCTTAGGGTGACAAATATTGGGTAAGTTGGAGCGTTTTTCTTATGGATACTGTCTTGATGGATTTGGGGTTAGGGTTAGGGTTTAAGTAGATATAATTCCGCATGATCAATTAGAATTTGGTACATTAGTTTGTGAATATACCGTTAATACTGATTACTGAATACAGAATAGCGCTACAAAACCATGGCAAGAGCTGCCGCGGTTCGTTCGTGGCAGGAGCTGCCATGAATTGGTAAGAACTGCGCCTCTCATATTTGGACAAACAAACTAAGAACATAGAGAAGATGTGCAACAAAAATGAAGAAGTGTTACTCAGTCTAGCTAAGTCTCAAGAACAACTCACTGTTAGACTTGGAGCTATTGAAAAAAATAATTCTGAGATGAACCAATCATTAAGTGATATGAAAACTGCTCATAGTAATTTTCAAAAAATCCAAGCAGAAGATAAAGAAAAGATTACAAAACTTGAACCACTGTGAAGCTAGTAGCAATTTGACCTTTGTGTGCGGCGAAGCGGAAAGGTTAATATTTATGGCAGAAATGGAGGCGTGTCAGAATCTACACCCGAAAAAATGAAGATAAACGAAATTAGCATACTATTATGGGAAATATGTTTATAATTTAGCAAAAATAACAATTATATAGCAAAAAAATAAATAATAAAAGGAATGAAAAAACAAAAAAAGGGGAAACGAATTTTATTTAACTTCCTTCGAAAAAGCAGATAAGCCAGATAATTTCAAATCCAAGCAAAAATCCCTTCCGCGGGAGAGGCATTCGATTTCATTATTTATTAATAAAGAGGTTTATGTTAATTTTTTCCCACAACTAGAACCTAAGTCTTTTTTTTATTTTAGAATCTACGTTTTTCTCATAGCGAAAATGACCTTATTTGGAAAAATTACGTATAACGAAAAAAGTTAAATCTAGTCAATTTTCAAAGTCCAGCAACACACCCTTCTGCACAAAAGACATTCGATTTCATTATTTGTTATTAAAGAGGTTTACCTGAAGTTTTTCACTCAACTAGAACCTAAGCCTTTTTCATTTTAAAATCAAGGGTATTCTCATAGCGAATATGGCCTTGTTTGAAAAAAATACATATATCGACAAAAGATAATTTAGTCAATTTTCAAAGCCCAGCTGCACACCCTTCCCCACAAGAGGCATTCGGTTTGATTATTTCCCATTAAAGAAGATTACCAGAAGTTTTTCACACAACTAGAACCTAAGCCTTTTTTATTTTAGAATCTGGGGTATTCTCATAGCGAAAATGGCCTTATTTGGAAATATTAGGTATAGCGAGAAAAGCTAATGTAGTTCATTTTCAAAGCCTAGCAGCACACTCTTCCGCACAAGAGGCATTCGATTTGATTATTTCACGTTAAAGAGGTTTTTCTGAAGTTTTTCACACAACTAGAACCTAAGCCTTTTTTATTTTGGAATCTACGTTATTCTTATGGCGAAAATGGCCTTATTTTGAAAAATTACGAATAGCGAAAAAAGCTAATTTAGTTAATTTTCAAAGCCTAGCAGCACACCCTTCCGCACAAGAGGCATTCGATTTGATTATTTCATGTTAAAGAGGTTTACCTGAAGTTTTCCACACAACTAGAACCTAAGCCTTTTTTATTTTAGAATCTACGTTTTTCTCATGGCGAAAATGGCCCTAATTAGAAAAATTACGCATAGCGAAAAAAGCTAATTTAGTCATTTTTGAAAGCCTAGCAGCACACCCTTCCGCACAAGAGGCATTCGATTTGATTATTTCCCATTAAAGAAGATTACCTGAAGTTTTCCACACAACTAGAACCTAAGCCTTTTTTGTTTTAGAATCTACGTTATTCTTACGGCGAAATGGCCTTATTTTGAAAAATTACGTATAGCGAAAAAACCTAATTAGTCAATTTTCAAAGCCTAGCAGCACACCCTTCCGCACAAGAGGCATTAGATTTGATTATCTCATGTTAAAGAGGTTTACCTTAAGTTTGCCACACAACTAGAACCTGAGCCTTTTTTATTTTAGAATCTGGGGTATTCTCATAGCGAAAATGGCCTTTTTTGGAAAAATTACGTATAGCGAAAAAAGCTAATTTAGTCAATTTTGAAAGCCTAGCAGCACACCCTTCCGCACAAGAGGCATTCGATTTGATTACTTCCCATTAAAGAAGGTTACCTGAAGTTTACCACACAACTAGAACCTAAGCCTTTTTTGTTTTAGAATCTACGTTATTCTTACGGCGAAAATGGCCTTATTTTGAAAAATTACGCATAGCGAAAAAAGCTAATTTAGTCAATTTTGAAAGCCTAGCAGCACACCCTCCCGCACAAGAGGCATTCAATTTGATTATTTCCCATTAAAGAAGATTACTTGAAGTTTTCCACACAACTAGAACCTAAGCCTTTTTTATTTTAGAATCTACGTTATTCTTTTGGCGAAAATGGCCTTATTTTGAAAAATTACGTATAGCGAAAAAAGCTAATTTAGTCAATTTTCAAAGCCAAGCAGCACACCCTTCCGCACAAGAGGCATTCGATTTAATTATTTCATGTTAAAGAGGTTTACCTGAACTTTGCCACACAAATAAAACCTAAGCCTTTTTTATTTTAGAATCTACGTTATTCTTATGGCGAAAATGGCCTCATTTTGAAAAATTACGTATAGCGAAAAAAGCTAATTTAGTCAATTTTCAAAGCCTAGCAGCACACCCTTCCGCACAAGAGGCATTCGATTTGATTATTTCATGTTAAAGAGGTTTACCTGAAGTTTGCCACACAACTAGAAGCTAAGCCTTTTTTATTTTAGAATCTACGTTTTTCTCATGGCAAAAATGGCCCTAATTAAAAAAATTACGCATAGCGAAAAAAGCTAATTTAGTCAATATTGAAAGCCTAGCAGCACACCCTTCCACACAAGAGGCATTCGATTTGATTATTTCATGTTAAAGTGGTTTACCTGAAGTTTGCCACACAAATAAAACCTAAGCCTTTTTTATTTTAGAATCTGGGGTATTCTCATATCGAAAATGGCCTTATTTGGAAAAATAACATAAAGCGAAAAAGGCTTATTTAGTCAATTTTCAAAGCCTAGCAGCACACCCTTCCGCACAAGAGGCATTCGATTTGATTATTTCATGTTAAAGAGGTTTACCTGAAGTTTTCCACACAACTAGAACCTAAGCCTTTTTTATTTTAGAATCTACGTTTTTCTCATGGCGAAAATGGCCCTAATTAGAAAAATTACGCATAGCGAAAAAAGGTAATTTAGTCAATTTTGAAAGCCTAGCAGCACACCCTTCCGCACAAGAGGCATTCGATTTGATTATTTCCCATTAAAGAAGATTACCTGAAGTGTTCCACACAACTAGAACCTAAGCCTTTTTTGTTTCAGAATCTACTTTATTCTTACGGCGAAAAGGCCTTATTTTGAAAAATTACGTATAGCAAAAAAAGCTAATTTAGTCAATTTTCAAAGCCTAGCAGCACACCCTTCCGCACAAGAGGCATTCGATTTGATTATTTCATGTTAAAGAGGTTTACCTGAAGTTTGCCACACAACTAGAAGCTAAGCTTTTTTTATTTTAGAATCTGGGGTATTCTCATAGCGAAAATGGCCTTATTTGGAAAAATAACATATAGCGAAATAAGCTTATTTAGTCAATTTTCAAAGCCTAGCAGCACACCCTTACGCACAAGAGGCATTCGATTTGATTATTTCACGTTAAAAAGGTTTACCTGAACTTTGCCACACAAATAAAACCTAAGCCTTTTTTATTTTAGAATCTACGTTATTCTTATGGCGAAAATGGCCTTATTTTGAAAAATTACATATAGCGAAAAAAGCTAATTTAGTCAATTTTCAAAGCCTAGCAGCACACCCTTCCGCACAAGAAGCATTCGATTCAATTATTTCATGTTAAAGAGGTTTACCTGAAGTTTGCCACACAACTAGAACCTAAGCCTTTTTTATTTTAGAATCTGGGGTATTCTCATAGCGAAAATGGCCTTATTTGGAAAAATTAGGTATAGCGAAAAAAGCTATTGTAGTCCATTTTCAAAGCCTAGCAGCACACTCTTCCGCACAAGAGGCATTCGATTTGATTATTTCACGTTAAAGAGGTTTTTCTGAAGTTTTCCACACAACTAGAACCTAAGCCTTTTTTATTTTAGAATCTACGTTATTCCTATGGCGAAAATTGCCTTATTTTGAAAAATTACGTATAGCGAAAAAAGCTAATTTAGTCAATTTTCAAAGCCTAGCAGCACACCCTTCCGCACAAGAGGCATTCGATTTGATTATTTCATGTTAAAGAGGATTACCTGAAGTTTGCCACACAACTAGAAGCTAAGCCTTTTTTATTTTAGAATCTGGGGTATTCTCATAGCGAAAATGGCCTTATTTGGAAAAATAACATATAGCGAAATAAGCTTATTTAGTCAATTTTCAAAGCCTAGCAGCACACCTTTCCGCACAAGAGGCATTCGATTTGATTATTTCATGTTAAAGAGGTTTACCTGAAGTTTGCCACACAACTAGAAGCTGAGCCTTTTTTATTTTAGAATCTGAATAACGTAGATTCTAAAATAAAAAAGGCTTAGGTTCTAGTTGTAGGAAAAACTTCAGGTAAACCTCTTTAACGTGAAATAATCAAATCGAATGCCTCTTGTGCGGATGAGTGTGCTGCTAGGCTTTGAAAATTGACTAAATAAGCTTATTTCGCTATACGTAATTTTTCAAAATAAGGCCATTTTCGCCATAAGAATAACGTAGATTCTAAAATAAAAAAGGCTTAGGTTCTAGTTGTAGGAAAAACTTCAGGTAAACCTCTTTAACGTGAAATAATGAAATCGAATGCCTCTTGTGCGGAAGGGTGTGCTGCTAGGCTTTGAAAATTAACTAAATAAGCTTATTTCGCTATATGTAATTTTTCAAAATAAGGCCATTTTCGCTATGAGAATACCCCAGATTCTAAAATAAAAAAGGCTTAGGTTCTAGTTGTGTGGCAAACTTCAGGTAAACTTCTTTAACATAAAAGAATCAAATCGAATGCCTCTTGTGCGGAAGGGTGTGCTGCTAGGCTTTGAAATTTGACTAAATTAGCTTTTTTCGCTATACGTAATTTTCCCAAATAAGGCCATTTTCGCTATGAGAATACCCCAGATTCTAAAATAAAAAAGGCTTAGGTTCTAGTTGTGTGGCAAACTTCAGATAAACTTCTTTAACATAAAATAATCAAATCGAATGCCTCTTGTGCGGAGAGTGTTGCTGCAGGTATTTGAAAGTTGCCAAAAATTAGCTTTTTTGACTTTTGTAAATTGCATAATTTGTTTTGTACCATTTTATAAAATTATCGTGTATTAATGACACGATTGCACATAATTCTGGAAATTTGTCATCTCTGAATAAAAAATTAATATTTCGCGCCACCAATATAGAAGAGACGTTATGCTGATCTTCAAAATATCCAAATTACGATTATAACGATAATGTACGACATATAATAACCTGACTTCTGATTTCAGCGCCAGTGAGACATATTGAAACAAAACAATTTTTACGTTCTGTTTTTTGCATGTGTTGAAGAATTTGCTTTATACTACAAAATGCATTTGAAACTTCTTAAATTACTAAGACATATTATAATGAAGTTTAACGTTTGTTACGTAATACAATACACAGTTTGAAACGAAGTAAAGCACTTTTACGGCTACGAAATGTTGTAATTTAGTAGGCTGGTTTTGAAATATTTTTAAAGTTATACAAAAATGCTCGGGGCTCTTGGTTGAATTAACACTTTAGCAAAAATAAGCAGCGCGCATAAAGCATCACGGAATGGGCACCATATAAATTTTTATCGGTATCACAGTGTTTAATAATGTAAATCGAGTTGGTCAGACGATTTGGACCTCAACTCAATGGCTCGGTTGATATTGCCTATTTCTCTTAGTTCGCGTACCATCTTGCACCTCTGTATAAATGTTTGCAGGCATGAGAAGTATTTCCAAAAAATGTCACATAAATTGAACATAACTTAGCTTTTAATTAGCAGTTATTACCGAAACCTATGCAGGTGACATGGAACACTCGTTTCGTTATATTTCCAAGCTTATATGAATACTTAATCTAACATTTTTTGTCAAAATATTTGTCCTGATCAATTTTATCAGCCGAGTATATTTAATTTCGACAACGTACTATGACAAATGAAACTGCATAGGCGATCAAACCGCCGGGATGCTCTCCACTCTGTATCCTAAGTTGCCGTCAAATATATTTGAATTTACTGCTTATCGTGATGTATTTCTTCCACAGCCTGTCTACAAACTTAATCATTGTTCTCTGTGTGGAATTTAGGACTCGCCCATGTTTTACGCCATCACCCTTCAATAAGCACAAAACTGTCATATCACCCTTCAATGAGCACAAAAACGAGATTATACGCACCGCTGCGCAAAATTAGAAGAAGGTTTGCTACTAGCTTCACAGTGGTAAACTTGAAGCTCTGGTATCTCAACAGATGGCTGCAATAACAAAGTTGCAACAAAGTCTGTCAACTATGGAAGAAGAGCTTGAAAACGTGGCTGAGGCCCAAGAATATTCAGAACAGTACGGAAGGCGCTTAAATCTTGAATTTGTTGGGTTACCCTATCAAAAAAATGAAGACACCAATCAAAAAGTAATAGGAGTTGCCAAAATGATTAATGTTAAACTTAATAGTGAAGACATTTCTACCTCTCACCGACTTGTTGCTGGCAAAAGATCTCCTATAATTGTTCGCTTCTGTAGGAGGGACAAAAGAAATGAGCTATTTCGAGAAAAAGCTGGTCTTGTCAAGGAAAATGGAGGTAAATCAATTTTTATTAATGAAAATTTGACGGAGTGGCAAAAGTTCCTTTTTAATGAAGCTCGCTCGTTAAAAGATAAATTTAAATACAAGTTTATTGGGACACATTCTGGAAATGTTTATGTTAGAAAAAATGAGTCGGCTAAGAGTCTAAAAATTTTAAATGAGATCGATTTGGACAAAATTCGATGATAATCTATTTTGTAATCATATCGCTTATTATCATGAGGTCATGTGTATTTTTACTCTACAATTGTAATAATGTCACTTTTTAAAAAGTGCAAAGTTTGTCATACTATAGTCACAGATGATGTCAATCATATTTCTTGCAATCTATGTCTTGAGAGTATTCATTTTACCTGTTCTAAACTAACCCAAGAAAGGTTCCATTTGTTGATAAATTCTAGCTCACCCTATTATTGTAATCTATGCCTAATAAACAGTCTACCTGTAATGGCTGCAATAGAAAACCAATGCTATCCCACCTCAAAATTAAATGATGTAGATGATTGGGCTACCGGATGCGATTATATTAATTCGAATGAAGTTGTTGGAAAATTGCCAAACTACTTTTAATATTCTCCATTTTAATGTAAGGAGCTTACAAAAAAATAGTCTTCAAATTGAGTATTTAATAGGTCCCAGTAAAAGATTGCCTGACATAATAGGTGTCTCCGAAACCAAACTGGGAGAGGCCTCTCCAGATGTTCCCATTATGGGATATGATTTTATACGTAAAGATTCATGTACTAAAGCAGGAGGAGTAGGTTTATATATTCTAGAATGTATCAAATATCACATACGTGTTGATCTTAGCTTAAATTTAGTGGGATGCGAAGACTTATGGATTGAAATCGATCAGTCTGGACTTAACTGCAATGCCAAAAATCTTATTATTGCAGTCATTATAGGCACCCATCATATAAATATGATGTTTTTTTAGATAAATTTATACAAGCTCTAAATTTAGTGAATTCCAGTGGAAATTGTACATATATTATTGGGGATTTTAATGTTGATTTGATGAAATATCAATTAGACAATAATGTCACCAGGTATGTGGACAGCATCCACTCTTGTGGTTTTCTATGCGACATTAACAAACCGACACGCGTCACTGAAACAACAGCTACTTTATTAGACCATTTTTATTTCAATAGAGTAGAATATAAAACAATTACTAGTATTATAAAATATGACATTTCTGATCATTTTCCTGTCCTGGCTCACATACATCTAGCATGCCAGAGGTACCAAATTAAAACACGTAGACGTGACTATAGTAATTATAATCCTGAAAATTTTGTTGACCATTTGAGTCTTGTAATCGAAAAAGATCTCTCATTTTCCTATGACATCAACAAAAAATTTAATTCACTTTTGAATTCAATAAAGTCTGTGGTAGACCAGCACATTCCTCTCCAAAGCAATTTAAATGAATGTAAACTTAAGCTTAAACACTGGATCTCGAAGGATCTTTACAAGTCCATTAAAACCAAACATAAAATGTGTTGTAAAAGCAAATCTCAAGTAAAGATAAGAGAATATAAAAAATATAGGAATAAATTATATAGGAATCTTGCAAAGGCTAAACAAGAATATTATAAAACCGTTCTTTCTAGCTGCCAAAAAGATATGGCAAAAACATGGATTCACATTCGTGAAATAATTGGCAACTCCTCTAAGAAAAACAAGCTGCCATCTCATATTATAGTGGATGGTAAGAGAATTACTGATGGAAATGCCATTTGTTGTACACTGAACCAACATTTTTTGGAAGTCGGTCCTAAGCTTGCATCTAAAATAGGTCCAGCTTTGAATAGTCACATGAATAATCTTGGGCCAAGCGTCAAAGAGTCTTTCTTTCTTCGTAGCACCACCTCACTAGAAATAGAAAAACAAACTGATAAATTGGATGTTAAAAAAGCTGTAGGCAGCGATGAAATACCTGTAAGACTTTTCAAAACTGCCAAATATGTTTTATCTCCCATTTTATCCAAGCTTTTTAATCAAAGTTTTCATGAAAGTGTGTATCCAGATATATTGAAAATAGCCAAAGTAGTGCCACTTCACAAGAAAGGATCCAAGCATGACCCAAACAATTATAGGCCAATCTCCCTACTGTCACAAATTGCCAAGATATACGAAAAAATTCTGTATAATCGACTAAAATTTTTTTTTGATAAAATGGGAACTTTGAGTCAATCCCAGTTTGGTTTCCGGAACAATTACTCCACTGAGTTAGCTATAACTAGGCTTAAAGAAATGATAATAGAAAACAGTGCAAATAATAAGGTCACCTGTGCCATATTTTTAGACCTTGCGAAAGCTTTCGATACTGTAAATCATCGTATTCTACTGGAAAAACTATATCATTACGGCATTCGAGGTGAAGCATTTCGTCTGATCTCATCATACCTAAGTGGCCGTAAGCAATATGTTGAAAATGGGGAGAATATTTCTGGAATGGGCCTCATGACAAATTGAGCTGGAAGGCACATATTGCCGATTTGTCTAAGAAATTATATCAAACTGTTGGAGCACATATTGCCGATTTGTCTAAGAAATTATATCAAACTGTTGGAATATTTTACAGACTCAGGTATATTTTGAACCCTGAAACACTCAAATTGGTCTACTATAGTTTATTTCACTCGCGATTACAGTATGGTATACCTAGCTGGGGGTCGACAAATAAGTCTCTATTGCAGCCAATACAAGTTTTGCAAAATAAAATTTTAAGATGTATGGCATTTTCAGAAAAAACTCACATAACCAATTTTCAGCTGTATCGACAGTTTAATATCTTACAGCTGTGTGAAATGCATACACTTGAAATAGCCAAGTTCATGCATCGGCATGAAAATGGCCTTGTTTCCATTGCTTTCCAACACTATATCACTAGGCTACAAGATGTACATAAATACACCACTAGGTCCCAAAAAAATTGGTCATATTTTACCCCTCATGTAGCCACGGAGTTTGAAAAAAGATCACTGAAATATAGCGGTGTCCAGGTCTGGGGCATTGTACCACCTGACATCAAAAATTGTTCAGCATATACTTTCAATAAAAATATGAAAAAATTCTTGTTATCCAAGTACCCTGATCCGTATACTTCTGTTTAATATACTGTAATTGCCGTTTTATGCTGCTAAAAGTTATTGTGCAATAAATGATGAACTGCATATTAATTGCATATCTAGTTGGGCATGCTTAATTGTGGAACACGCATTAATATTCCATTTCTATTTCAAGTATTTATGAATCTTTATGAATGTTGGTGATTGTCAGTGTGTTTCCCAAGCTTCCATCTCGTAAATTTATTTAATATCCTTTTCATATTGTTAAAAATCACTGTATAAGAAGTGATGAAATGAACATTTAATTGTGGATCATACATTGATACTCCATTTCTAATTCAAGTATTTATAAATCGTTATGAATGTTGGTAGCCACTATACAGTATTCAGTGATTGTCACTGTGTTTTTTCCATGCTTTCATTTCATAAATTAATTTACCTAATAACCTTTTTATATTGTTGAAATTCATTTTGTAACAAATGAACAGCATATATAATTGGGGGCCATACATTAATATTCTAGTTCTATTTCAAGTACCCTTGGTATGAATACTTGTGAATGTTGTTAGCCTCTTTGTAAATTAATTTATTAAACCTATTTACATGTTAAACTAATTATATAATAAGTGATGAACTGCATTATCAATAGCATATTTAATTGTGAATCATACATTGATACTCCATTTCTAATTCATATTTTTATAAATCTTTATGAATGTTGGTAGCCACCATACAGTATTCAGTGATTGTCACTGTGTTTATCCATGCTTTCATTCCGTAAATTAATTTACCTAATAACCTTTTTATATTGTTAAGATTCATTTTGTAACAAATGAACTGCATATATAATTGTGGGCCATACATTAATATTCTAGTTCTCTTTCAAGTACGCTTGGTATGAATATTTGTAAATGTTGTTAGCCTCTTTGTAAATTAATTAATTTATTAACCTATTTACATGTTAAACTAATTATATAATAAGTGATGAACTGCATTATCAATAGCATATTTAATTGTGGATCATACATTGATACTCCATTTCTAATTCATATTTTTAAAAATCTTTATGAATGTTGGTAGCCACCATACAGTATTCAGTGATTGTCACTGTGTTTTTCCATGCTTTCATTTCGTAAATTAATTTACCTAATAACCCCTTTATATTGTTAAACTCATTGTGTAACAAGTGAGCTGTATATTTAATTGTGGATAATACATAAATATTCGAATCCTTATTCAAGTATGTATAAATACTTATGAATGCTGGTAGCAATTAAACAATATTCATCGATTGTTATTATTTTTCCCCTGCTTCTTCATGTGAACTAATTAAGGTGCCAAAAGGAGTCAAATGATACTTTTACGTCATGCACTCCATTACTGAATCTGTGATGATATTATTATTTTCTTGTCCCTATCTTTCAATTTTTGATCTCGGTCTGTATCCAATAAAAAAAAAAAGCTTTTTTTAAATCTTTGACTGTTTTAATTCTTTCATTGGACATGATCGGTACATGACCTCTCAAAATCCTAAATAATAACTTTAATTTGCCGACTCATTCACTCATTTCTTTATCTTATATATATTTTATTTAATCCCATTTGCATTTACCCATGGTACTATATTATGCCATGATAACCTTATATACAGCATTTACAAAAGGGTCGGGAGCCTAGATGACCTTAATCGGTCCTGCACACTGACCCGCACAAAACAATAATCAATCGCTGTTTATTACTGATGAAATATTTTCTTCATTATATTATTATCTATTATGGTTTATATTAGTGTTGATTTTGTTTTTGTGGCAATAAATCTCACTCTCTCTCTCATGGTGAAAGGTGACGCGAAAAACCAAAGTTGGTTATCGAGCAGCGACACCTGTGATAAGAGTCTAACTTTGATACTAAGATATCTAAGTTTAATAGAAATAAGCCGATTAATATATATATATAAATTAATATATCAAATAATAAAGTCCGAAAACCAAATTTGTTACAAAAAAGAGACTCCGGGCACTGTCAAGTACGAGAGGGGTAACCATGGGCAGCGAACCCTGCCCTTTTCAACTCGTGGAGGTGGCTTCTCACAGGTCACAGATGTTCCCCATCAATTGCGGAATTCCACAGGGTTCTGTATTAGGACCTCTTGAATTCTTGATAGCAATTAACGATTTGTCTAACAGCTCGAATTTTTTGACCAAACTCTTTGCCGATGACGCGGGCCTGCTCGACAGTGCAAAAGTCTTGAGTTCACTCCAAGACAACGTGAACACTGAGATAGACAGAGTTTATGATTGGATGACATGTAACAAAATCACAGTGAATGTTGATAAATCGAAGGTAATGATATTCAGCCCAAAAACTCGCACTGGACTTGCAAACTTCACAGTTAAAATTAACGGTATCCCACTGGAAGTTGTCCGTTCGCATAAATATCTTGGACTACATATTGACGATCATCTAAAATGGAACGCCCATACTACTGAAATTCATAATAAACTGTCAAAATCTGTAGGAATTCTTAGTAAACTTAGGCATTATGTCCAAGACATAACTCTGCGAACGGTATATTTTGCCTAGTCACACATCCAATATGCATTAGCTGCGTGGGGCTCTAGATGCCCAACTAATTTACGCAGATTAGAAGTCTTACAAAATAGAGCCGTTAGAATTCTTTCTAGGGCACCTTTTTGTTCTAACATCGACACCTTATATCATAAGACCAGGGTGCTGAAACTATCTGACATCTATAAACTAGAAATCTCTAAGTGACATGACTTAGTAACATGTATGAGCATAATACGCGCTCTTCGACAAAATCCAATTTTGTTGTACCCCGTTTTACAACAAGCAAGTTCCAAAACTCTCTCAAATATAGAGGTGTCGTCACTTGGAATAGTATTCCCATCAGTTTACGTGACTCCATCTATGCCACTTTTAAATTTGAGTATAAAAAACTTATGCTTTCTTCTTACCTATCAGTACCTTGACTTGTTGTGCTATCAACATCTATTTTGCATGCCTTGTCATTGTCATCAGAATACTTGATCTGATCCACAGTCCCCAGAAGTATTCCTCAGCATTTGGAATATATTTCATTAATGATTCGACCATTTTTGTAATGCTATTTCCTAACCTCCACAGTTTATGCTCTACAGTCTACACCACACTGTATATTCAGAATGTAGCCATTACTTGACAATCCCACTAGAGATGAGTTTGTGCCTACCAGATGAGTTTGTGCCTACCACTGGAGCTCAGTCAAATAATTCACTGGCTGGTCATGTATGATCTGGTTTCTTTATTATCGGTCCAGTTCAACCAAGATCTCAAGTCACTCTACCAACCCTAATTGCCAGATAATTATTTCAATAGTTATTTGGTACATTGCAACCATATGTTATAAGCCCTATTGCATTGTGCCTAATTCTACTGTTTTTGTAATTAATTTTATCATTGTGATATCTCTTGAACAAGGTTAGTTATTGCTTAGTTCATTTTCCTCTGTATTGATTGAATTATTATTTTATTTTTCTCATCTGGCGTCTATATTTGTTGCACGAGTAACTGATTGTGTAACGTTAGCTTGGTTAAATGTTACTCTCAGGACTTCTTAGTCCATAATCTAGAATGATGTTTTACCTGTTTACTCCTTTGTGAAATGTAGGCTACTATTCCGATTCTAATAATTTTACTAATGACTCCATTCCTGGTAACCATGTCACAGTGTCGAATTGAAGTACAGTAGAAACTGGTTCCATATTAGGAAACTGTTAACAATTCAGACATTACTCATAGTTCCAAATGTATTACCTAAAAACTGTCTTGTTAGGTACACCACCAGAACGTGCACCCTTAAAAACTGGTACCTAAACGTCGTCGGCTTTCCTAGTATGACTGTACCCAGCCAGGCCAGCCTGCTGTCACTGTGCCAAGGTGATATTCACTTTGGTCGTTGCTATGCTGTTCGCTGCCCTGTTTTTGAATTCCACCACTGTGTACAGCAGGGGTGGGCAACCTCTCTTGTCGGCGGGCCAGATGTGGGAAAATGAAGTCTTCGGGGGGCCTGATTATTACATGATTAGTATTCAATAACTCAATCACATATTTATTCGCTAATGCAAGAAAGTCAAATGCTCGACACTCTTTGTCAACTTTACGTTTCTTGGGATGCTCCATGGTTAATAAAACTTAATATAAAATCTAAATTCTATTTATATTTAGAATCTATGCTCTCTGCTTTGACCTGGTGTTATTTGTTTAACAAGTGTGCTAAATTGCTTGTTCACTAAGGCAATTGTTTATTTCACCAGCTCGCACTGACAGTGCGGTGAGAGTAGAAAGAACGGCAACTTTCAGGGATGACGCGTCGGACCACATTTCAGAGTGTGGTTGGATACAATCAGCGGGCAGGTCAAAATCTAGTCGCGGGCCGGACCCGGCCCGCGGGCCGTATGTTGCCCACCCCTGGTGTACAGCGTATATATAGAGTTTCGATTACAACATTGATAATACTACTTTTGTTGTGTTTTTGTCATTCCTGGGATTTTCAGCCTGGGATATCCAGTCAAAAATATAAGTCGCTCAGTGAGTGTAATCCAGTGGCGGCGCGTCAATAGGGCCAACCGGGGCAATGCCCCGGTTGTTTTTTCGGTATAATAAAAAATATTCGAAAAATACCTCAATATCGGTTGCACAGACTGTCTACACTAGCCATATTCTCCCGACATGGTTCATTTTTCGCTCGCAAAGCCTTCGCCGAACGTCGACGGGGCGACGCCGATTTTGCCCCGGTTGCTCATTGTATATCGTATTCTCTCTTTTATCTTCCACTCGCCGCATATGTCTCGTTTGTTTTCTGTTTCTTTTACTAAATCATCGGGGCTAGCCCCGAAATTATGACGACACAATGCCGACGTTTCTTACAACAACTTGTTGACATATTCACGCATTCCTTCTCGTTCGTTGGTTGCTCGAAGAGTTGATAGTTTCCTCGCCTTCGTTGTTGTCGCTTGTTTCGCTATTTGAATCAGTTAGAGACCTTTAGTCCATTTGCTTTCGATTTTCCACATTCCCTTTGAGCTCCTCACTTCTTTCCGGCTTGGCATTTCTTAGCCTTAGACCTCATAATGAATAAGGTTGATGCACTACTTCGCACTCCGTTTTCGCAGCTGCCGCTGGAACAAAAATTAGAGGTACAACGTCTTGGGCCTTATCAACCAAAAAATTGTTCACTGGAACAATCCCATGACGGAGGAAAGCGTCGGCGTACATTCTGCGCAGAAACTTGGTATAAAAAACACGAATGGTTGTGTTACAGCGAGGACAAAAATGCACTTTTTTTTTTCTTTTCATCTCCTACTTTTTGCTACCGCCCGTGACTCACGTTGGTGTAAATTTGTAAGTTTTAGAGATCTCAAACATCTTTCCGAGCGTGCCAGGGATCATCAATCTTCTATGGAGCATCTGGACAATGCAGTAAAATACCGAACATTTGGAAATGTTAATATTGCAGCACAGTTGGATGAAGGACGCGCGGTTTCTATTCGTCGGCACAACCAAAACGTCGAGAAAAGCCGCCATGTTCTCGGTCGATTGATAGATGTTTTGAAGTTCATTGGTTGTCACGAGCTGTCCCTCCGTGGGCACGATGAACGGGCTGGCTCTTCTAATAGAGGGGTATTTTTGGATATGGTGGAATACAACGCATCCCTAGATACAGTATTGAGAGATCATCTTGATGCCGCGACTGTTTCGAAAGGGACATCTAAGGATATCCAAAATGATTTGCTCGACTCAATGTATAAAATTTATTTACAACATTTGGCTCTGGAAATTGAGAATTGCCAGTTGCTTTCGATTCAGTCTGACGAGACGACTGACATCACGTGCGTTTCCCAACTGGCTGTAATTTTTCGGTTTGTGAAAGATGGTAAACCTACCGAGAGATTTCACAGCTTTGTACCAATCGTTGATCGCACGGCTTGCGGGATATCGGCTGTACTGAAAGAAGTGTTACAGCCTTACAACGCGAAGTCAAAATTGATAGCTCAAACTTATGACGGCGCGGCAGTCATGAGTGGGTCGAAACATGGTGTTCAAGTTTATATAAAAGAAGATTTTCCTCATGCGCATTTTTTACATTGTTATGCACATCAATTTAACCTCGTTATTAAAAATATGTGTCTTGATACCCCTCTCGTCCGTATATTTTTTGCAAATGTTTCGGGGTTTTCTTCATTTTTTTCCGTTTCGCCGAAGCGCTCTGACCTCCTTCGCCAGATATGTAGCCGCCGTCTCCCAGCTTGTGCACCAACACGTTGGAACTTCCAATCACGCGTGGTGCAGGGCGTGTCCGAAATTAGGTCTGAGCTCATTGAGTGTTTCAATGGCATTCAGAGCTCTCCGGTTTGGGACGAACGCTCTGTGAGGGAGGCGGCGTCTGCTAGAAGATGGTGATTTTTCATTTTTTCTCGCTTTTTTCTCCACAATATTCTATCACGTGGATGTATTATACGGCGCATTGCAGTCAAGGCTAATGGATGGAGCGTCTGTGCAGTCGTGTATTTCAGACTTCTGCGATGCTGTATCTCGTATCCGAGAAACAATAAAATACGACGACACATGGAGTGCTTCTTTACGCCGCGGGCAAACAACGCAGCGTTTGATTTTGTCTGCAAAGGAATGCTGTGACATTCTGGTGAATCAAATAGGCGATCGTCTGCGCACTGAACACCTTGCCGCGTTCTCTTTGATGAACCCCAAAATTTTTTCAAAATTTGCACGTCAATTTCCCATTCATTTGTTGGCTACTGTCTCCAAATTTTACCCCATGATAAACGTGGGTAAATTGGAAAATGAAATGCGATGTATATACACCAATCAAACTTTTTTGAACATCACATCAACTTGCGCGCTCTATGGGTTCCTCATAGATAACACTCTAGTAACTACCTTTGCGGCGTCTGCAAAATTTCTGGACATCATTTTGACGACGCCTATTTCTTCCGCCGACGCAGAGCGAACATTCAGCACGCTGAAGCGTATTAAAACGTATCTCAGAAACACAATGAAGCAAGATAGATTAAATTCCTTGGCTGTTTTATCCATTCACAGAGACGTTATTTCTGGGATGCATGACTTTAATCAGCGCGTTATTGAGCATTTTGCTTCCAAGAAACCGCGGCGTGTTGCATATATGTTCAAACAGTAGAAGTCTAGCAGCATATATATCTATGAGTGAGCGACGCATGTCCTTATCTTTGCATTAAATTTCCTTTCTTCATAGTAACGTTTTAAACCTTATTTTAGGTTTTGTCTGCTTTCCCGAAGTTTCTGTTAATATGTCATTGTATTTATCTGGGTAAATATTGCCTTTCCTTTTGAAAGAGGTTCAAAATAAACTATGTCTATATTTATTAATCCCTTGACTTGGACCGGTTTTAAAAACACTTTCTTATCGTTAAAAATTTTCGCTTTTGCCAATTGGTTGTTACCGATGGAATGGTTTTTATACTCATAAAATGATGGGAGAACTTACAGCGCTCATCCTGTCCCCGTAGATGGGGGTGACTTGGTCCCGCAGTAGCTTGCCCCGGTTGTCAAAATGACCACGCGCCGCCACTGCCTGTTATAATAAAAATCATTTTGTTGCGTTTGATTTCAGTAGGCTATATATATATTTTATCAATATGATTATGATATTGCTCATCCCGACGTTTCCCAATCGGATAGCAATTCCTCCCCAGGGAGGAATTTTGTCGTTCTTGGGGAAAAATTCTACATTTGCAGCAGTATTACTATTCTTTAATATTACTATATTACCTAATTATGCACACATTATACACTACTAAACTATACGAAGCGAAAGTGAGACATGTACTCTAGAATTAGATAAAGACCCATTAAAAATTGGATAAACAAAGAACTCGTATGTATGCCGAGGTAGGAATAAGGAGGTTTGATGATTGAAAGAACCTTTGGGCCTCATCCGATCAAATATACCATTGTATAAAGTCCGTCTAATATGAATCAAACTAGAGGAGTTCCGACATCCGACAAGTGTTCACTTACTTGTTCTAATCTAGAGTATACAGTAGGCCACATCGAATTTGTAGTAGCTAATCTAGATTTAGGGACGTTAGTGACAATACTGTAATTCTGTATAGTGGGACTATCTCCAAAATGTTTACGTCACATCGTTGACGCAGGTAACCACCACTCATGCTGTCATACCACTCATACCTGTTATAGGTTTCGCCATCCCACTGATGAAGCATGAGCACTGATAAAGCATCGGTGCGCTGCATTGCAATTTTAAATAAAGTGACTCACGCAATATGGTGTGTGCGTGTATGTGTGTATGTATGTATGTATGTATGTATGTATGTTGATTTCCCTCGAAAATGTAACAGTATCTGCATAATAGTTAAACGGTATAAAAGAGACGGGATACATGTGCAAGACCTTACTGGCCTAAGACACAGATGTGGACATGCACCCCAACAAGTATAACTGCAGTTTAGGACTGCTGCGTTATAGTAGAACAGAAGACATGAAATATACAAATAAAACTCGTGTACAAATACAATACACAGGACAAAGAGGTACAGCACCACGATGATATGTACAATAGGCAGTTTATGGCACGTTCATATCCCAGGTTCTGATGTGAAGGGATGGGAATAGTGTATAAATCGCATTTTTGTGTTTCTTACAGAAGATTGTACGAAACAAGTAAAAATTTGTTCGAGACGTGAACCTGCCAAAAACCAACGTTGGGTGGGACCACGACACAAAAATATTAATACTAATACATAGCACCATATCTCGTATTGTTCACTTTCCGCATGCATTAACGTAGTTTATTAGCGCACTCTCACCTATGTCCAAAAAAAGCACAATCACGTCTTACACTTAAGCTTTGGCCACTCTCTCTGTATATATACTGTATTTGTCATAGTAAATTCGCTCATTGGTGCTCGTGAATTCTCAACGTTTTATTATTACGAATAGATTCAGTGTATTAAAGACGACAGTGATATTATCACGGTAAGTGCCAATCTTTCCAATGAAATGATCAACAGTCGTCAGTGACTAAAAGTTTACCTGCAATATTGATGGAGTTTACCATTGCTCTCCGAATTCGTGAAAGTGCTTTCTGTTGAGAAACAACTTCATAAAGAGAAATCGTGACATGAATCGCCCCAATAATCAATATGCAGCTTACCGTCGCTGCAGTGGCCGAGAACTTCAACCAGTTTGAAAAACGGTTTTGCAATGCGTGCTTAGAAACACGCCCATTTGAAGTCAACGGCATTATCTTTAAAGACCTATAAAGCAGGGGTCGGCAACATTTTGTCGCTCGCAGGCCAAAATTAAAGGTTGCACGTCATTGGCAGGCCGTACATATTTAAAAAAAGTTAAAAATCGAACGGTTGACCGATGAATCACATTTTATCGCACAGATCAGAAGTTGAATTTCAAGCAGCACGCGAAGACTGACCATTTGAATATTTTTTGCGCCATTAAACCATTTGCCCTTAGCATCAACTTTTCTGCGTTTTGTTGCCATTTGTCTAAATTATAATTAAATTATAGGCTCATTGAACGCGGATCCGGCCCGCGGGCGGGCCGACACCTGGGACAACCCTTGCGCATCTGAAAAGTGCTAGTGTTTTTTTTTTTGGTTTGGCTTAATTTACTTTCATTTAATCGCCATTGTCACCAACAGCTAATCGACTTCACTATATACCTAGGGTGTAAGCATTTATAAATACACCTTATAAATATATCTTAGATATTAAGCAGTATATTTTAAAGAATTGTACTAGATTACCAACAGAAATGATATACATGTACAGTGTTTCCCCGAAAATAAGACTGGGTCTTATTGCAATTTTCTTCCAAAAAATACCAGTAGGGCTTAATTTCAGGGGATGTCTTTTATTCTCATTTATCAAAATCAAAATTACAAAGTAGACAATTACGAGATTTTCAAATATACAAATTAAGAAAACCGATATCCATTTACATATAAATACCATGTTTTTATTAAAAATAACTGCAAAACATTAGATTAATCATTGAAAACGTGTAGTGGAGATTTCCTGCCATCGACTATATCCAAAAAAAATTTGTGCTATTGACTAGGTCTTATTTTCAGGGTAGGTCTTATTTTCGGGAAAACACGGTACATACAGTCTATCTATAATATTATGTACACTTGAAACAATAGGTTGACTGCATAGAAAAAATACAATTTGAAGATATATAAAGAGAATAAAATAAAGCAGGACTGTATTAGAATTGATATTCAGATTTTGAATTTGGCATTCTGAATTGATATACAATATTAGAATGCCAATAAACATCAAGGGTAGAGTCAAGCATGAACTGGCGTAATACAATAATAACTATAATCAGCATGAACAATCTAAAATATTTCAGGAGAAGACTCGCCAAAAAAAGCAAATTGATCATACACAAATTAATCATATAAATCGAAATATTCTGAAACTGATTCCACCAACTCAACAAAGTGGTCTTTGTTGTTGGGTACCAAAGAATGTGTATTCTCGATATTTCATGTTTGCGCCAACATGTGCAAAACGCTATACCAGCACCCTCACTCCCATCTAGGTTGTAACACTGTTGAAGTGCAGGAAGAAATAACACACAAATACATGTCCAATAGGTCTCAGAAGGTTGTAGGTTGCAAAGGCGGAGGTAAGTTGCTATCAGTAGGCAGGTCCATATCCAGTGCTGAGAGCCTGGCAGAGACAGAAGGTTTCACCTGAATCAATCCCAGTAATTCATCCGGCATTTCTGTTGAAGCTGATTCGCTTTCAACTGCATGATGAAAACATAGATCTTGTTGTTAATGAAATAGTACTAGTAGTATGCATCAAATATTTACCGATAATTGGTATCGTGTTGGAAAAGTTTACAAATGAAGTTAACTGGCTAACTTATCCAGTACCCGACATGAACTGGTAAACGGATTTTCACCTTGTATTTGTGTGTAGTATGACTACTAATATTCTTTACTTATTTGATAATTGGTATTAGTCTAATACTTCTTATGTACACGATAAAAACTATTATAACTGTCAAAAATGTGTGCGATATAGGGATCTCATTTCACAAATAAACAATGATACTATGTTAATGTTTTAAGAAATAGAAAATATAAAGAATTGAACCTTCTGCTGTTGGCCGATTTTTATCAAGTTCCTGTTTGACAGAGTCTTTAATAAAAGCTGAATGAACATCCATATCTTTCTGTAGTTCTGATGCATCCGCAAATACGTTGTCAACCCTACACAATTGAAAAAGCTCGGTATTAACAATGCAAATCACAGCCGATAAGAGTGATTGTACAGCCTTTTCGAATATTTCAAAATAACTATTAATTGATGACTTACCTTTGTTGAAGAACAGCAAGAGTATTTAAATTCTGGTACATCAATTGTAGACCATAGCACATATTCTCCGTAGATGCTACAGTTTGCTTCTCCGCTACTTTTTTGGGAGGTAACTTCCCCCTCATGTAATCCTCAAATTCTTCTTCAGATAGTTGCAAACTAGTAGCATTCAAACCACTGTCAATAAATTGAACGGCACAACACTGAAAAACATGGATTTGATTATTATAAGAAATACATGGAAATAAAACAAAATGTGTATTCTAATTGATATCCTAAAATTTTCAAGTGCATGATTTTAAACTGCAAATATCATCCACTATTAAGTGAATTGTAAAACCTTATAGATATTCATGAAATAGCTATGTAATTTTGGGACTACCCATTGCCCATGAGAAGAATATCTTGTTGTAAATTATGCTATCAGACTCCAACTATCAGAAAAACAACCAAAAGAAAATGTTGAAAATCTGGTTTGTCCTCTTCCTCCCTAACTTACAAGGTTTGTAAAAAAGTATGCGTCTTCTCCTGCCATCAATCTGCTTGGATTAGAGAATCTTGTTATATAACTGATATTGGATTTCAATAAAGGTGGATTTGCTTTCAATACAATATATATCAATGCTGGTAAGTATTCATCAGCACTTGCAGGATTTCCATCATCCTGTACATGAAATTTAAAAAAAATTTAAATTGCATGACTAAATTTAAATTGCACGACTCACTTGGTGAGTAATTGGCCCGAAAAAAAACTTGATTTGATGATAAGTTTTAATGATATATAATATTACTTAAATGATTCTTCAGAGTCGGCAAAAGAGATAAAATTTATTAATGCGTATGTGCGGCATCTCAATTCAACTATGGACAATAGACCATGGAAACATATTCAAAACTTACATATGTTACTATGCAGCATCCTTGCATCATATGCATACGGATCCACTAGCCAAACGTATTGAGGAAGGATTGGGAGTTAAGTCTCGTACAACCTCTACTGGGGGTTACATATGTTAACTCATGATTAAAACTTACAAACTTCGAATTGCAAAACAAGTATTACCGGTATTTCATATAGATATTCTGCAATACATTATATTTCAAAAAATTAACTACATAGTAACATTCCTTGTAATGTGAAAACTGTTCATTCGTAAGATTAATCAACAGATACCTTCGATAATTGTAGAGATTCGAATATATGTTTACTACATCTTGTTATGCACGACAGTTTGTCTTGAGGTGCTCTTTTTGAATCCATTTCAATGATAGCTACAAAACGAATACATATATGTGTCATTACATTAGTATGTTTATTCTATAGGCCATTGAAAATTGTTGAAGCGATTGGCCAATCGTGCTAGGCGTTGAGAACATGCTTGCCATCGCACCTCTGATTACCCTGGCTGGTATGAATCCCATGGGAGATAACTATGTACAAAGAGAATTGCGGGATTCCTCGCCATTGTAGGGTGAATCAAGTAACTTCCTCCCAGGATAAATATAGTTTGAATTATACAAACAGTGTTAACTGCATGAAAAATGATGAAAAGTTAGGTTCTGTCTGAGTAAAAGGTTGCTTATAATAAGATGAAGGTATTCAAGGGAACCTATTCAACAGTATTAGTGTTATTGTTAACTTTTAATTAAAAGGACTTAATTATCATAAATTACAACAGAATTTTACAAAGCATTCCTAAAAAACATGAAACATATATTTATTTATCGAAAAAATACCAGTTATAGCTTTATCAATAGCAGCAGCAGCATCTACCCTTTCCTCATTCAGTTGAGCATCTAACATTTCTGTTGTAATCCAATGCAAACTTCGAATCTTTTTCTACAAAACAAAATAATTATATATTACTTCTCATAACTTCTTGTTGATAGTAATGTTTTCTCCTAATCATCCAGGGTAAGGTCGCTGCGCTACCCGCGAGGGGAAATGTATGGAAATATTTTTAGTAAATTTAGAAGCATATGTTTGTTTGAAGTTTGTTGGAGGACCCGGGTCGTTGCGCCGGACGAATGACGGAAATTCGTCCGGCGCTGTGCCCCCGACCACTCTAGTCCATTAAGAAGTTCAAATACCCTGTAATAAACTGATCACCCCTAACCGGAGTCGAATTTTTCCAATTTTAAGGTCCGTGATCACTCAACCGTTACGAAATTTTTTTGACATAAACTAGACCTAAACTACCTTGCATGACCCGGATATGGCGCCTCTACCTTCTACCATTCTCAAGATATAACGTGAAATCACTGGAGCGTGACTGAGGTGATGGAGAAATAAAATTTCTTTCAAAATAGATTCAAATAATTTTTCTAAACATGCCCATGCCTTTACTTTCTCAACAGGTCCTTTCAGAGGCCTGCAATAGGCCAAAATCACTAGACCATGACTGGGGAGTGAGAGAAAAAAAATTTCTTGAAAAAAGCATTAAACTAAATTTTCCCAACATATCTATCTATTTTATTTCTCGATAACTTAATTTTTAGGTGCGCAACCTTCTTACGCCACTGGAGGGCGATTGGGAGGGGGAATTCCCAAGATTCAGGTGGTGAAATATTCTATATATTAGTCCCTTTGAGATTTAAGCATCACTTTGCCCAAAAACCAATTCCAAGTGCTCCTAATAGCCCAAAAACCATATTATCTAAGTGGGCGTGGCTTTCCACACGTTTTCCCACCACTGGGGGGGCGGTGGCAGTGCCCCCACCCCCAATTGCACTTGGAAAAAATCCCAATACTCGGGCAAACGCTTTCTGGCCCCGGAAACGCAGCTAAACGGCTTCTAAACCCCAAAATCACTCTTGCGAGACTTGATTGACAGCCTGAAATAATTAATGTCACGCAACCTTAAATTTGGGCCACCAAAAGCCCGTTTTGGCCCACTTCCTTTGGCCCGATCGTTCTGAAAAATTTTATTTGCTATTTTGGTAACTGCCCCCTACTACATGCCAAGTTTCGTCCCGATCGGCCCGCCAGTTTTCTGGGAAATGGTAACCCGATGGGTCTTAGCCAAGAGACTTCGTCACATTATTTTTGCCCTACGCGCAAAGTCTTTTGACCATTACTGTGCATACGCACTAAAGTGCTACACTGTTGCCTGACCATCCAGGGTCGGTCGCTTCGCTACCCGCGAGGGGAAATGTAAGAAAGAGATTTGAGTATGAAAGAGCGGATGTTCCATTATGAGTTTGTTGGATGCACCAGGGTCGTTGCGCCGGACGAATGGCGGAAATTCGTCCGGCGCGTAGCCCCCAGCCACTTTAGTTCATTAAGTAGTTTAAATAACACGTCATAAACTGATCGCTCTCGATGGATGTCGATTTTTATCAATTTTGAGGTCCGTGATCACTCAACCGTGACGAAATTTTTTAGGCATAAACTTCACTCCAACTACCTTGTACACCCCAAATATGAGACCCCTATCTATTACCGTTCTCGAGATATGGCAGAAAATCACTGGACCGTGACTGAAGGCTACTAGAAAAAAAATTCCGCTGATACGTGATTGGAATAATTTTTCTGATCATGCCCATGCCTTTAGATTATTGATAAGACCTCCCAGAAGCCGGCAAAAGGCCAAAGTCACTAGACCGTGACGGAGGCATGGGAGCAAAAAAATTTTCCTAAAAAAGTATTAAACTAAATTTTCTCAACCTACCTATGTATTTTTTTTTCTAAATATCTCAAATCTTAAGCGCAACATTCCGAACTCACTGGACCGTTACGGGGAAGGGGAATCCCCAAAGTTCGGGTGGTAATATATTCTATTAATTAGTCCCTTTGATATTTAGGCATCACTTTGCCCCAAAACCAATTCCAAGTGCTCCTAATAGCCCAAAAACCATATTACCTAAGTGGGCGTGGCTTTCCACACGTTTTCTCACCACTGGGGGGGTGGTGGCACTGCCCCCACCCCCAATTATACTTGGAAAAATTCCCAATACTCGGCCAAACGCTTTCTGGCCCCGGAAACGGAGCTAAACGGCCTCTAAACCCCAAACTCACTCTTGCGTGACTTGATGGACAGCCGATTGACCAATCAGCAGCCTTGGGCCCCTAAAATCCCGTTTTGGCCCACTTCCTTTGGCCCGATCGCTCCCAAAAATTTTCTGTGGTCGTTTGGTAACTACCTCCCGCTACATGCCAAGTTTCGGCCCGATTGGCCCGCCAGTTTTCTGGGAAATGGTGTTTACCAGCGGCGGCTGTTAATGTACTTCCAGCTTTAGTCTTTCGTGCAACGAATTCTGATCCATACTGTGCATACGCACTTTCAGTGCTCTCAGGTTGCGTGACCATCCAGGGACGGTCGCTGCGCTACCCGCGAGGGGAAATGTAAGGGAGATATTTGAGTATAAACGAGCGTATGTTTCATTATGAGTTTGTTGGACGCACCAGGGTCGTTGCGCCGGACGAATGGCGGAAATTCGTCCGGCGCGTAGCCCCCAGCCACTTTAGTTCATTCAGTAGTTTAAATAACACGTCATAAACTGATCTCTCTTGATGGATGTCAATTTTTATCAATTTTAGGGTCCGTGATCACTCGACCGTGACGAAATTTTATAGGCATAAACTTTACTCCAACTACATTGTATAACCCAAATATGAGACCCCTGTCTATTGCCGTTCTCGAGATATGGCAGAAAATCACTGGACCGTTACTGAAGGCTACTAGAAAAAAAATTTTGCTGATACGTGATTGGAATGATTTTTCTGATCATGCCCATGCCTTTAGATTCTTGATAAGACCTCTCTGAAGACGGCAAAAGGCCAAAATCACTAGACCGTGACGGAGGCACGGGAGCAAAAAAATTTCTTGAAAAAAGTATTAAACTAAACTTTCTCAACCTACCTATGTATTTTTTTTTCCCAATATCTCAATTCTTAAGCGCAACATTCCGAACTCACTGGACCGTTACGGGGACGGGGAATCCCCAAAGTTCGGGTGGTGATATATTCTATTAATTAGTCCCTTCGATATTTATGCATCGCTTTGCCCGAAAACCGATTCCGAGTGCTCCTATTCGCCCAAAAACCATATTACCTAAGTGGGCGTGGCTTTCTACACGTTTTTTCGCCACTGGGGGGGGCGGGGGCACATCCCCCACCCCCAAACATGTTTGGAGAAATTCCCAAAGCTCTGGCAAACCCTTTCCCGGCCCGGAAACGCAGCCAAAGGGCTTCTAAACCCCAAAATCACTCTTGCGTGACTTGACTGACAGCTTGATTGACAGGTAGCCACTAAAAGCCAGTTTTGGCCCACTTCCTCTGGCCCGATCGTTCCGAAAAATTTTCTGTGTTCGTTTGGTAACAGCCCCCAGCTACATGCCAAGTTTCAACCCGATCGGCCCGCCAGTTTTCTTGGAAATACCCTTTTCACCCATAGATAGCGCATATACTTTCATCTAACCTGCCCTACGTGCAATGACCTCTGATATATACTGTGCATACGCACTAAAGTGCTACCGGGTTGCCATACCATCAAGAATATCGCAGTATTCAAGTAGTCCAGATGATAGGCCGTAGTAAACCATATGATTAGGCAGTCTTATTGTCATTTTACTCCCCGAAATAAATATGAAAATCCTATACTATCTACTATGCAAGGCTTGCCAGCACACGCAAATCTGATAACAGTTGTATAACTATTGTATAACTATAGTAACAGTCACCTGAAACAAACAAAGAAAAAGTTGAAGTATGCCATGCACCTGTACTGCCAAATCTTGACTTTCATCGTCTGTGTGATCGCTACAAAATATACTTCTGTACAATCTTGTCATTAAAAATTTTTCCACATTATCCATAATTCCCTCCTGGTCTTTTTCCGATGAATAACTACTAAACACAGGATGAGTCGTAAGCCTATCTGCCATCGACTGATAAAAATCCTGTACAAGTTCTGACTGCTCTTCAACCGACATTTCCTGGAACAACAATTGAATATATTTGATCAACATTTTGAATGGAAATTCACACTGACAAATTCAGACCGTCAATATTGTTATACTAGTTATTACAATGGCAAATAAATTGTGGATCAAAATTACAAGTTGATGTTAAACTTTGACAATTTCAATAACACACAATGGTAATTACAAATTGTTATTTGGAATGATGTGCCAATTGCCAATACAAAGTAGGCTAAATAGCAGTCAGCACTACTGGTGTCGATGAGAGGAAGGATAAACATACCTCCAAATCATTTAACACAAACAAACATGTGATCACTTGAAAAAGAAAAATCAGAACGTAAATTCCTAATATGTATGGCTTTAAAAAAAATTTTGTCAAACAGTGGGATATATTCGTGAGTACAACGTATGGAAAGATATCGAACATCCGTAGTGAATCAATCAATCGTAGCGAATTGAAAAATGATTTGCAATATATATTATATTGTTAAAAATTACCCTTTCCCATTCACAGCATACATGATGCACAAATAAATACATCAAATTATTTCATATTCAAAGGATGAACTTCAGATATATGAACAAATGGAAATTCTGTTCAAAATCAAACCAAAAGAATGGAAGCATGAGCTGGAAGCATTGGCTGATAAAAATAGACTCAAACTTACTCTGTTTACTACGAGTTTTTCCATGAATGATCTACATTGTTTCATGACATCTTTGGCAGCTGGTTCATTGAATGCTTTTATAAATTCCATAAAATCGTGTGATGCTTGCTTACTTTCATAGCTCTGTTGTCTTTCATGAGTTGCAGAAGACAGCCATCCCATACTTGTTCTATCTTGCCCTAAATAAATCTCTCACAATCAGTAAAGTATAAAATAATCACATTGGAATTGAACGAATAACAAGCTCAAAAAGTCATCAATATATATGCACAGCTGGTCTATATACATCTATAGTCTTCCCACTATCTGGACTTGAGTTTGGAGTCAACCCTTCGGGCATATGCATCTTTGCATGCAATGTCCAATGCAAATACGAAACAACTCTTGTCGAATGACTGCATAAGTATGCCTATTTGTGAGTACCAAAAAGCCCCTTAAAATAATTAATCTATTATAGTCTGATTAAATAATATGCTCAATTGGAACTGCTTAACGAACACACATTGATAACGAACGCTTAGTTATTAAATGTAAAAATGGGGAATTTGAAATGGTTCCATTACATTTGAACCCACGTACATTTGAACCCATGACAATTGCACCGGTATGCTATTGCACCTATGGAATTTTTTTTGTTTCACGGATAGTTAAACCCATGGGTTTTAGCACCCGCATATAGATTGAACCCGTGGATATACGCATGGGTTCAAATGTACATGGGTTCAAATGTACGGTCACCATTTGAAATAACTTACTCCGCAAAACTTTTCGACTGCTATCAGGTGATTTCCGTGAGATTGGTGTTAGAAATGTTGCGGCACGAGACAGGGATTGTTTTTGTGCCGAATTATTTCTAGGAGACACTGCATTTGTTGGACTGTTATCTTCATGATTCGGACTCGGGGTGAAAAGTTTTTTCAAGCTCTGTCTTGTACGATTTTTCTTATCCTCAAATTTGGAGAAGGTGCTGCTAAATTACATTGAATGCTTTTGGAATTTTTAGAAAACAACTTCATAACAATAACTGTATATGCACCAAAAATCCAAGATGTAAGAAATTAACAATTCATGCTGCAGAAATGTGAATATGCTTTATGTATGTAATGCGATTTTGTGGAACATAGACCACATCAAAAGAGCCTTTTCTTGGAACAATGACAGTGGTGATATAACTCAATTTATCAACTATATGGTTATTGAAGCTATCCAGTTTTTATATTTCGGTCCATGAAGATAATACTAAAGCAGTAGAATGAGGTTATACATACAGGATGAATAATAGAAGTAATACCTAATGTTAAATCAGATCAAGGCAGCAAATTCCTGAATAGTCATGTGACTGTCAATTCAATATTGATCATCATTAAATAATCAATATTTAATTTAAAACGCAAAATTGACGGGCACATATTATAATGCCAATGAATATAACAGAAATGGAAGAGGGTAATTTAGTTTTTACAGGGTTATAAACTCAGTTATTAAATGAAAACAAATAAAAATTCAAAAACATAAAATACAATTTAATGATATTTAATGCTTTTTATAAGCTATACCATATCAATTTCTTGATGTTATTGTTATTATAATATATATAAATGGTTATGGGCGACACTGATGTATGTACCATAAGTCAGTTTCCAATTTCTACCAAACAACTTTCTTGCTATAATATGAAATAAGCAGCATTACATGTAGTAACAAAAAGTATGTATTGAGTAACTGCCAAATAACCATCTATAACCTCTGTGCCTCAAATTTCAATTTGGTAAGATTTAATTTCCCCTCAGTTTTTAACTAATTTATGAAACTGCTAATTATAATATATCAATTAATAAAGTATCAATCAGCATTATCATGAATAATGAATTGGATGAGATTTCAAACAGCAGAGATCAATCCATTGAATTGAAACATATTTACATCAAAAACAAGAATTCTGAAAATTTGAGGCATGAGCATGCTATGCAAAAAAAAGCTAAAAAGAAATAATAAATTGAATAATCACAGTCAATGAATATCACATATAAATAGTTGCGGCTGGCTAACCCACCTAGCAAAAGTGCTTTCACTCTGTGCAGTAGAAGTTGGTGGGGTGGTAGGTGTGTGTGATATCTGAGCAGGACTGTTAGCAATGGGGGAAGTCACAGCTTTATTTTCCTGCTCTTGAAGTTTTTTTGCTAATTCATGATCTTGATCAATTTGTAACTGTTTTTGTGATTGATAATGTTCCCTCCAACACTTGGAACAATATCCCTGCAAATGAAAAGAGAATATGCCATTTCGGGCAATCATGGCTTTTATTTGGCAAGCTCTATGTTGTGATTGTGATGTCGTAGTGACGCAATTTTTCGATGACGTAGTCAGGTGGGGGTTAGGAATACTATATGCAAAAATGTTTGTACCACGCCATGGCGTTTAGTGAACAAGCGGCCAATACTATTAAGACAATATTACATTTTTATTCAAGATTATCCTATGGTGGGCAAAACCCGCTACTGTCATTTGTAATTAAAAGATTGAGAAACAGAAAAATTCAATCTTCTGACTCTGGCAATTTATAATAACTAAAAGGCCTACAGCAGTACAGTGAAGCAATCAATATTGCAATATTTAGTTAGGTTATACCTTCCATGCATAATTTCCATAGAATCCACATCCATTTCTACAAAGCAATTCTGCTTGGTCAAGATGTATTCCTTTTCTACTGCCAAGTGATTTTATTGAAGTCATTACTTAATTCAGTAAAAAACTCCTGAAATCTGAACTACAATGCTGAGAACATTTGAATGATAGCAGGATATTGCCAATTTGCGTGATACAGTGAAAGTATTACAATATTATCCTATTTCTACAGCAAACTTTAAAAGATAGGTACCGTACTGTACAGTAGGTACCGCACCTACCGGTACGTTATTACCTGAATAATGTAATATCATGACGGCGCAGTCATACAGTAGGTCAGGGTGGTCCAAGGTTGTCGCCTTCCCGGACCACAAAAATATTTTTGCATTGTTCGCGGTACACAATAGCGTTAAAAATATGTAAACAACAAATGCTTTTATTGTGCAAACGATTGATCCTTGTTTTTCATTTATCAAGCTAAATCATACAAAATACGCCAGAAAAATCACTGAAACATGCAAAAGTTTAGCTATATCTACTTTTAATTTAAGATTTCAAACTCTTCATAAAGCAGTAACAGAGAAAGTGCTCCCGCAAATGTAAGTGTTCTCGAACAAGAGGTTCTCAAAGCAAAATTTCCCTCGAAACAACACTGAATGCGATTTTTCGATTAGTCTACCCTTCAGCAAAGGCGACGCGGGCCACAGATAATGACGCCTGGGTTTGGACCACTGTGCCGTAGGTAAGGTACCTACCGTATGACAGTACTGCAGTATGAACCTTGTTCGCCAACCTAAAACCCAGACTGGATTCCATGGCAGGTGCACGCCCGAGGGCGCTAGCGCTCCGCAAAAATGCACGCGAGCGAAATCAATTTTGCACGCCGAAAATTTGCAATTGCTCACCAATGTAAATCGGTTTAAATGGTTTTAAAATCAATAATCCAGTAATATAAAGATGCCAAAATATTATACCTCCACAATTGTCGACAAATACCAGCTTGCAAGATTTGGTCTGATCGAAATATTGCGAAGCAAAAAGACCATGGCCCTTCCCCAACCTTTGACCCGCGAAAAATTCCTCTCATTGTTACGTCCTTTTTTGCATCTTGCTGATTGGCCAATGTCACGAAGTAAACAAGGAAGTCGATGCTCGGGGAAAGGTCCATATCGTGTTGAATGATAGGAAATAGGAATCCCGTGAGAATAGTTATGGACGAAAAGATCGCCTCCGCACCAAGTATGGCCAAGTACGGCTCTGATTCAGCGTATTTTTCATACAATAATTTTACACGAATGTACTGAACAGTACCGGTATCTAAAGTTGCTCAAACACTCCCAAAATTAGTGACAAAGTATGAAAATAATGTTTGAGGTCAAAGGTCAAACGTCCATTTTGCTCTAATTTGACGTATTTTTTATCCATTAATTCTACGTAAAAACACTACCAAAATTAATGACAAAGTATGTCCATTTTGCTCTGGTTCAACGTATTTTTTATCCAATAATTTTACGCGGATGTACTGAACAGTACCGGTATCCAAAGTCGCACAAACACTCTCAAAATTAGCGACAAACTGTAGAAATATTGTTTGGGGTCAAAGGTCAAACGTCCAAATTTTCTCTGATTCAACGTATTTTTTATCCGATACCGGTAATTTTACGCGGATGTATTGAGAGGTATCTGATGTCAAAGTCAGTTGCACGCGAGTGCAGTTGTTTTGCACGTCGTGAGCTATAATTGCACGCCAGGAATTCTTATTTGCACGCGGGAATTTCTGATTGCACGCCCGATTTCTCGTTCAAAAAGGCCATGAAATCCAGACTGGCCTAAAACTTACCCCGACTACCCTACCCGAACAACAATCAACTAAAAAATCCCCTAAATAGGGTACCTATCGACCGCACTGTAAATATGAGGTACGTGGTCAAATTTCCAACTAACTTCAGAACTTGTCTGAACCAGTATATCTACCGTGGAACGGTAGTTATCTCATAATGAACATTTTATACATTTCTAGGCATGACCCGATGTACCGATCTCAATCCATTTCAACAAAATGACTGAATGACAGGGGGCAATGCACGAATCTTTATTTAATAGGTGCAGTTCCGACATTTACCATTGCTGTAGGCTATCGCGAATCCGCATAACTGCTCAAACTCAGGTCACGAGTAATCAAGTCATGGACAACCACTCAAGTGCCACAAGCGATATTAAGTGGGCGAGTGTTCATCGCACGTCTTCATTTTAGTAGTAGAAGCCTAAGGAGGCGGACAACTCGACTACACGGACAACTCACCAGAGACAACTCGACTACAGAGAGGCCTGGTGAGTTGTCCGTGAGATCCAAAACACCGTCGTAGAAAATGCGAAAAACGGACAACTCACCAGGCCTCTCTGTAGTAGAGATGTACCGATACCACTTTTGTCGCCGATACCGATACCGATACCAGCTAAAAAAGCCGATACCGATACGCCGATACTACAAAAAGGCCGATATTACCGATATTCCGATACCGATACTATGTAAATATTACTTAATTAGGTGTGCTGTGTAGGGCAGACGGGTTAAAACAATGGTCTTTGAGCGTTGTTCATAGTACACATTATTTCAGATCGAAAAATGATATATCACATAATATGAAATTAATGTTTGGTGTTTGCTTCAACTGATTAAGATACACTGTACAGTAACGCTAGTAATCTTGGTGTTTAATTAGAAAACCCATAAGCCGGGATGTCCAATTTGAATTTAATGTTAATATCGCGACCTTCGAATATCGTTATTCGTGTTTAAGAGAATATCGAATATCACCCACACATTCTAGTGCCGCCGTCCTACGTTCAAATTAAAAGCATTTTTCAAATATTTTATTTCGTGGCTAATCGTAATCGTCGACGCAATAAGTCAAAGCCAACATGAAAGAATATCAATCAGCACCGACCAAAAGAAGGCCTACCTATAACCGTCGAGGATGTTTTTTTACTTTACTATTTTATATTATTATACAATTGCTATCATATATTTGAGACAGTCTAGGACTCTAGGCCCTCTAGGGCTAGGCGGTCATGTCAATATATCTATAAAGAAATTGTGTTGTTAAACAAAAATTAATATCTGCGTAGAGGGATAATTGTGTCGGAATTTAGTTTATCGATGTCGTCGGACTAAATGACCTTCGTACTTGACGACAAACAGTCAGAATTTATACCCGTGCCAAAAGTCCATGTGCCGTTAATAAGGACCCCAATTCCACTGTATGATTTAAAACTGGGCGCCTAATTGCTTTTTGTTATGTGCCGTGTTGATATATTTCTTCATAATTACTATGTAATATTAAAAATGTCAATATAAAAATTTGACAGCGAAAATAGCTAAAAATACGTGAATCATATTCTCTCGCGGGGGTAGGGACATGTATGGCTCATAGCTCACGATCTCTCCAGACAAAAAATAAATTAAAAAGTAGTATTCCAACTTATCTTTTAAAACATTCTGGACCATATCAAAAAGGTAAATATATCGGAAATATCGGCCTTAATCTAACCGATACCGATACATGGCCGATACCGAAAAAATGGCCGATATTGCCGATACCGATACCCGATACCGATACATCGGTACATCTCTACTCTGTAGTCGACTTGTTCGTCAGCCGTAGCCTATATATTGTAGCAGAAGTGCAAACAATACTAAACGCTACAATATTAGTTAGCGGAATTTCGTTAATTTCAAAACATTAAACTCCTTATAACAGTGATTATCCTCGAATGTTTAATCCAGTGAGGGAGTCATCGCCAGATCATCATACGAAAATTCATCGTACACAAACCGCAGTGATTTCCCCTATAGGGGGTGAACACCCCCCCTGAAATTTCAAACACTCTCCCTAATTTTGAGGTGCGATTCCACACTGTATTTCCTAACTCAAGTATAATTGTATTCAAATATAACGACTATGGCATATTTATCAGTGTAGATGAGGGGTTCTAAACCGCAGTCTGCGGGCCAATTACGGCTGGCGTGACGATTTAAAATGGCCCGCCGAACTTGAGTGAAATAGTTTAATCCTTCATGTGGTACCTTTTGAGTTTAAGATACCGTCTATTGTTACATCATTATCACAGTTTAAGCACGTTTATTTCGTAACAATTGAATTATACCGGTATCTTATGTATACGTATGGGTATTAGAATTACACACTGCAGTATTTTAGATATCAGCCGTATATTAGGAAAGCCTAAAGATGTCACAAAACGAAAACTAGGCACTGAAAACAGACGTTTTTTATATGAATGACAGGGTTTTTTATTTCTTTATTAAAAAGAATCAAACTTCAGCGATTTGTCTTCTTACCAAAAAATATTTCAGTTCTGAAGGAATACAACATTATGATCAGTTGACGCGCGTATTTCAAAATTTAATTTATTGCTTAATTCATACAAAAGTCAAACAAACATGTTCCGAAAAACTGTGAAATGTGTAACAAAACAAGCCATAAGTAGCCATTCATACAATGCCAGATGAGCAAGTAACTTCATTAGTCACTATCAGTTGCAAATTACTTGTTGAAACGTAGTAGTATATATTTACGGTTGAAAGTCGTGCTTGTTTTCTATTTCCCGGGAATTCTATCAGCTAAATATTATATTTATTGATTTCATTACATAACAAACTGCGATGCTAGGTGTATCTAAAATCAAGCTTAGAGCCTATTTTGGTGCCTATTTCTCAAAATGTTCTCAGGGCGATTGAGCGCGGCCTGAACCCCAGCCGTGACGTCCCGTACTTTTCCTCGCTCCCCTTTTATGGCCCTACAACTTTATTCTGCTGTGGATTTTGGCTAGCCGTCAATCAACTCAGGGGCCCCTCATGTAGATCGTTTCTTAAATACATACCATTTTTTAAAGAATACAAATAGCCTAGTTTTATCTCTAATAGCAAATTATTCACCACCCCCTAAATTTCGAAACACCCCCCCCCCCCCCCTAAAAAGAAAAGCTGGGGAACATACTGCACAAACCAAACATGTCCCAGTAGTATTTACCCGTTTAAAGAGATCAACATACAAACGTTCAACGACCGTACAGAACATTCATTTTTTTTAAACATTTAGGTCAATTTCAATATCAAGTTCATTTGAATCCAATGGTAGTCCATCCATGATTCCGATTATGCAGAGTGATGTCGTTGCATTATTTAGTTCATGTTCCATATTCCATTGTGTTAATTATAAAGAAGTCCAGCAATAAGTCCGTACAGGACTTTCAGCGTATACTAATTTCAAGCAGACATGTGTTGGTACTCTGATATTAAAACTATAGACCAGGGGTGGCCATTGGCCAACCCGCGGCTTCCGAGCCGCATGCGGCTCTTACTCCGGTTTCATGAGGCTCTTCTTGTCCAGGTTATTTTAAGGAAAGAATAACTGTAAACTACGATTCATCACGTTTCGATTAAACATATTATGATTCGTCGTGCATTCTTCTTTTGTGTCGAAGACACATGAACGCCGCCATACACTTTACAAATGCAATCGTCCATTAGTACGTCAAAATCAAATTCATTGTTGTGACTTGTGAGACGCATTTGTTGCGCTCAAAGTGTTATAGTCAGTGGTGGGATTTGATTTTTTTGTCAGCCGGTTCCATCACATATTTTTCAGTCTGTTCTGTTAGAAAAAGTCACGTTTTTTCAGTAATGCTAACCGGTTTGCTGATCTCATAAAATTGCGTGAGGCGGTTCTATAGAACCGGCGCGAAACGGCTGAATCCCAC